AATGGCTTGCTTCACAGGATGGTTTCTGGTTTGGGGATCAAATAAGATAGGTAGTAACAGTTTATAAACTAAAGTGCAATACCAATGTATTGTTTTTCTGGGTATCTTAAAGTATAGCAGACCCAGTAAATATTTAGGTGAAAGTTATAGCATCTTAATTGACCAGGTTTTTCATTTTTTGTTTTTAATTTTTGTTTTTTGATTTTAGAGAAAGGGAGAGAGGGAGGAAACATCAATGTGGTGTTCCAGGTATTTATGCATTCATAAATATGCAAACTTGGTGTATTGGGACAGTGCTACAACCAACGGAGCTACCTACCCAGCCAGGGCCTAAATAGATATTTTTGTCTGCAACCTCATGATAAGCTTTGAGAAGGCTTGTTTAAGGATTAAGATTTCTAAATTAATCTAGAATTGTTTGCCCTTTCGTACACCTTTCTTTCATATATTTTTACCCTTTGTTTAAAAATTATGGGACTTTTGCCCTGGCTGGTGTGGCTCAGTGGGATGTGCCAGCCTGAGAACCTAAAGACTGCGGGTTCAGATCCCGGTCATAGCATATTGCCTGGGTTACAGGCCAGGTTCCCGGTTGGGGGCATGCAAGAGATAACCAGTCGTTTCTCTCGCACATTGATGTTTCTCTCCCTCTCTTCCCCTCTCTCTAAAAATAAATAAAATCTTTTAAAAACAACAAAAAATTTATGGTACTTAAAAAAAAAAGATTTTATTATTTATTTATTTTTAGAGAGAGGGGAAGGGAGGGAGAAAGAGAAGGAGAGAAATATCATGTGCGGCTGCCTCCTGCACCCTCAACCAGGGACCTGGCCTGCAACCCAGGCATGTACCCTGACTGGGAATCAAACTGGTAACTCTTTGGTTCGCAGGCCAGCACTCAATCCGCTGAGCCACACCAGCCAGGGCATTTATGGCACTTTTAATATCATAATTTGGCTGCTACGATGCTTAGGAGGAGCGGCAAATAGTATTGGCTAAATGCATTTCTCCATTATGCTACTACACTGATCTGAGATACTTTGAAATTTCCTTGCAAGCAATTCCAGTTGAGAGCTCTCCTTCTAGATATCTCTGCTGTTGTTCAGAGACTGCCATCTTCAGGGAGAGGTGGTTTCTCTAGAAATAATCAGTTTGGACACTGTATGAGAATAATTGGCTCATCATAATATTTAAGGGTATTCTTTGCCCTTCTGAAGGTACTAGATTCGGTAGGAAGAATGGGTTGCATATTTAATCTACTCCTCTACTGATTTTGAAAACAGCTTGTTCAGGACCCTAGAAAACTACCTATAAATAAGGGGGAAAACTCCATTGGGTAGCCTGGCTGAGAATCTCCAATATAAAGAATTCAGTCTCTGGAGGTAGATGAGCCAATTAAGAAAGCTCAGTGAGAAGTCTGGTTTCTTCATTTTTTTTTATTTCTTGAGTTGTTCTTCGGACAGTGATTTAAGCGAAAATCAAGAGGTCTTTTCCCCAGTTGGGGGGATTTTCTTTACTTAATCTAAAGGATTTTATTCTTGTTCTGTTCTCTGACTACTACTCCTTGGGGCATGATAATGATAAAGGGAGGAGAGGCCTGCTAGAGAGGAGCCAGGGAGAAGCTGTCCTGACCCATTTGGGTCATACATAATGGAAGGATCAGATGGGCAGTATTCAATGCTTTTTCTTTTTTAGGATAGATTTAAATTAAATTAAATTAAAGTGTGTTGGGGGTAACATTGGTTAATAACATTATATAATTTTCAGGTGTACAAGATTATAAATTGACATCTGTATATTGTATTGTGTGCTCCCTACCGGAAGCCTAGTTTCCTTCCTTTACTGTATAAATGAAGAGCTGTTTCTTTTTGTAAGACAATTAAAGCTATCAATGTAGATAACACCAAACCTTAAACAGCTCTGAATTTGAAGCCGTAGTAAGGGTTATTAGGGGGCAGTTACTGTTTTTGGATCATCTGTAACCCACTGTTTTCCTTCCGTCCGTTGAGAAAGGGAATGCCTTCCAATTTTTAAGTACAAATTAATGTAGGAGGTTGTGTAGCCCTTTTTATCTAAAGGCGATTATCAGTTTATTTTTCTCTGCCTTTTTTTTTTAACCAAAGACTGACAATCCTGCCACCCCTTCAGCCATCACTGAAAAGAAGCAAGCAAGGAGTAGCACTTGTCCTTGGGGGAAAAAAACAAAACACTACTGCATTTATCCAACAGGAAAGTTAGATTTTTCTTTACTTATACAGTAACACTTGTCATGTGGTATCAGAACTCTGAAAACCTGAAAGCGTCTCCCTTTGGAAGCACAGCCTCTGAATCAGAAGCACAATGACATTAGTCAGAAATTGCATTCAATCCAGTGATTAATCTGTTCAGGAACAGAAGGAAAGGAGGGCTCATGGCACTTTCTCTAAAAGATAGAGGATTTTGGGAGAGGCAAGGAAAGTTCTCAATATGTAAATGGAGAGGAAGTTTGTTGAAAAGGTACTCTTAGATTTGTGTTCTGAAGGGGGGAGGAGTAACTTGGGCGTTGCTGTAGGCCACACCTAAAAGCATCTCAGAAAACATTGTTTTGTGTCACTCTGCAAAAGTTTAGAATACTTTTAGTGGGAGAAGTGTCTACATTTTTTCTAACCAGACATTAACCTTCAGGAAAGCAGGGACCATTTCTTATTCTTTTTTTTAAGATTTTATTTATTTATTTTTAGAGAGAGGGGAAGAGAGGGAGAAAAAGAGAGAAACATCGATGTGTAAGAGAAACATCCTCAGTTGCCTCTCTCACACCCTCAACTGGGTGGGGACCTGGCCAGCAACCCAGGCATGTACCCTGACCCGGAACGAACGGGTGATCTTTGGTTTGCAGAATGGTGCCCAATCCATTGAGCCACATCAGTCAGGGACATTTCTTATTCTACTGAATCTCCAGTATCCAGCAATGTCTAGAATTTTCTCATAGCCAAACAAATGCTTGTTCTTTCATTTAAGTCAGCATTGCTCCTCTATGCAGACATGGGGGTGTCTGAGTACAAAGCTAAGCCTATGCAAATAAATATAATATAACTGATTCATGATGATAATCTTGACTTCTTTGAAGTTTGTTATATTTCATTTTCTGTTATATTTCATATGGAATATAAAAAGACTATTTCTAAAATACATTCTACCTATATAGTCCAGTTTAAACTGTTTTGAAGAGTTTCTACTTACTAAGTTAGACTCCTTTTCACAGGGATATTAGAACAACCACATTACCCCCAAATCGGCAGTCTTTAAAAAAAAATTTTTTTTTTTAAAGATCTTATTTATTTATTACTAGAGAGGGGAAGAGAGGGAGAGAAACATCAGTATATGGTTACCTCTCATGCACCCCCTACTGGGGACCTGGCCAGCAACCCAGGCATGTGTCCTAATTGGGAATCGAACCGGGGACCCTCTGGTTTGCAGGCTAGTGCTCAGTCCACTCAGCCACACCAGCCAGGGCAAAAAAAAAAAAATTTAATTTTATATATTTTTTTACATTACTTTTTAATCCCCTTATACCTCCTCCCCCCAGCAAACACCACACTGTTTCCCATGTCCATGAGTCCTTTTTTCTTTTTGCTTAGTCCCTTTACTCCCTTACCTCTTCCCCCTGACTAGCTGTCACCCTGCTCTCCATTTATGAGTCTGCCCCCATTAATTAGCATTGTCTTAAATTCAGATATGGTAGTAACTTCTTTATTGTTTGGATCATCTGCCATACTCTTGATTCTTTGTATCATTCTTGGCAACTGACCCATCAGTTTGTAGATTTTGGCCAGTTTTATAGACAACTTTAGTCGTGTCGGTATCTTATGGTGCCACCTACTGACACAAATTGGTAAAGATAAGGCTTTAAGCCTACCAGCAGTCAGAGTTGTATGAAGGAAAAAAGAAAAGGATTTATAGGAGACTAGAATTTTAGCACTGGAAAAACCCTTAGAGGTTACTCAGCCTGATATATTTTAAGAATAAAATCAGGTTCTGTTACCTGTGATAACTAAGCTCTCCCCTCCCCCATTATCCAAATTACTGCAGTTTTCCAGTTCAGAGAATTTCATGCTCATTCTGGCATTTCTAAGCCTTAGAAATAAGCTAAGTAGAATGAGAAGTTAACAAGAAATTTGGTGAATTGTGAATTAATGGTGGCATTCAGAAAAGACTGCATAAAGAACCTTAAGAGGACTCAAAAGAAGAGGGTGTTTTGCCCTGGCCATGTAGCTCAGTTGGTTAGTGGATTATCCCATTTGCCAAAGTTGTGGGTTTGATCCCCAGTCAGGGCACACACAAGAATCAAGTGGTGAATCCATAAATAAGTGGAACAATGAGTCAATGTTTTTTCTCTCCCTCCACCCCCTGAATTCCTCTCTCTAAATCATTAAATTAAAATTTTTTTCTGGAAGAGTATCTTTTAACATTGTGGAAGAATGGGTTATAGGCATATACAAAGGGAAAATTAAACTATATGCTTAATAAGTAGGATGAGCTATTTCCCACAGTAAAAATTCAAGTCCGGTACTGTAATGAAATGGAAAATAGAACAGGAGATAGTATGGGTCAGCAGGCCATATATATAGTGTGTATATGTACACAAATATACGTTTGAAATGTATATATTATTTTTAGGAGGATTTTCTTTCAATTCAATGTAATTTTTTAGATACCATGCTGTAGAGTAAAAGGGCTACTGAGAGCTTTTTAACTTAGAATACATATAAAAGTTTTAAGTAGCTATGCAAGTATAAAGAAGTTTTGCTGTGAGATTATTTGGGGCTGTTTTATGAACTAACTTTCTAGGTGAATATATCAGACAGCTTCATTGTGTATTGAAGATGAATAGGCATAGCACTTAAATAAGCAATATACACTATTGAAGTCATCTGTGATGTCCCTGCTTTTCTTACCATCAGTACATTCACCTAACCAACAGGAGTGTGCCCTTATGTCCTTTTTATTTTTATTTTTTAATATTTTAGCAGCGTCACCCTTTATACTAGAAAGCTGGCGGGCACTATGGGGAAAAAACAAAACAAGAAGAAAGTGGAGGAGGTGCTAGAAGAGGAGGAAGAGGAATATGTGGTGGAAAAAGTTCTCGACCGTCGAGTGGTAAAGGGCAAAGTGGAGTACCTCCTCAAGTGGAAGGGGTTCTCAGAGTAAGTTTCATTAACCTGGGTAAATCCATTAATTTAATCACCAGCTATTTCTTAGGAATCTAGTAATGTGCAGGACTAGGGTGCTTGGATGGGTAGAATGTGATTCAGGCCTGGCCTTCATGGCTTATAGTCTAACTAGGAAAATGATCTATATCTATGAAGTGCTATAATACAAGACAGTGATTTCTGAGGAGCATTTTTGCATGTGGCTTTAGACTGATCCAAATTTGCAAAGAGAAAGTAATTTTCCTTTGAAAGAGGCAAGCTTTTAAACTTTCAATTTGTACTAAAAAACTTTCCCATTCCCCCAAGAGGTTTGAACTTTGCCCAATGTTTGGTCACTTGTTTTTAGCTCCTCTTTTCCAAGGACACCAGCTTTTGTCCTTCTGTGCTTCTCCTTTGTATGAGTATGCTAACTTTGAGTGGAAAGTGACTCACTCTGCCCTCTGATTTCAGTGAGGACAACACATGGGAGCCAGAAGAGAACCTGGATTGCCCCGACCTCATTGCTGAGTTTCTACAGTCCCAAAAAACAGCACATGAGACAGATAAATCAGAAGGAGGCAAGCGCAAAGCTGACTCTGATTCTGAAGATAAGGGAGAGGAGAGCAAACCAAAGAAGAAGAAAGAAGAGGTAACTAAGGGTAGGAGTAAGAATTGTTCCTAGCTGAAATTCTTACTGTGGTCAAAGAGGCTGAAAGCAGATAATTTTAGCACTTTTGTTTTATTGCTTTAGGGGAAAACACATTTTAGATTTTATTTATTTATTTTTAGAGAGAGGAAAAGGGAGAGAATGAGCGAGAGAAACATCCATCAGTTGTGCCCCTAGCTGGGGACCTGGCCTGAAACCAAGGCATGTGCCCTGAATGGTACTCAACTGGTGACCTTTCAGTTTGCCAGAGCCCAGCCCACTGAGCCACACCAGTCAGGGCTCTACTGCTTTTTAAATATCAGCAGTCCTTCTGGAACCTTAGATAGGCTAATGTTTACAAAGTATTTGGGGGCTCACTATTCTCAAAAGGCCATGTAATCTTTTATTTTACATGAAAGTTCAAGAAAAGTTCATTCCTGTTAGTAGATAGTTTTCAATGTTTTAATCATTACAGGTTTGAGGTAGCCATTTTAATTTATTCTCAGTACCTTAAAGTAAATTGTCTTTTGAGGGTGAAGAAACCTTTGTGAACATTTAGATTGCTTGAGATGTATGTCCCTTTTTACATGTGGAGAAACACATGTTTCTCAGGCACTTCAGACCTTGGTGGGCTAACCACTCAATGATTCTGAAAGGCCTGTGACCGTGGTATTGGTGAAATATTGGCAAAAAGAGTTTGAATACATGAATCAGAGAAACGGGAGTAACTCCAAACTGGATAGCAGTCCCACATAGGTAAAATTGTTCAATCCCTCTGGTTTTTGCAGTCAGAAAAGCCACGAGGCTTTGCCCGGGGTTTGGAGCCAGAGCGGATTATTGGAGCTACAGACTCCAGCGGAGAACTCATGTTCCTGATGAAATGGTGAGTCTGCCAGTGGCTGTGTGTGGTTGTTGTTTTCTTCTCCCATTTGTTCCATGCCAGAGAAAAGAGCTGGACCTTCGAAATTCCAGTCACCCAAGTGTGAAATCTTTAAGATGGCATTGTCCTTCGATAGTGACCCTCGGCCTGACTGCCAACCTGGACTCATGATTTACAGGTAGGGGCCCTTAGGATTTTCAGATCTTTGGCCATTTTTTTAGGAGGTGGGAGAAAATCTAGAATGGAGAGGGTATGGGGAGGAGTCACATTTCACTTTTCTACGTGAAAGGAAAAAATGTGAAATGTGATTGAACTACCCTCCCCTTCTACCACCTCCTTAATGAAGATTGGGCTGGACCCAGGCTCAGAAATTCCATTAACTTCTCTGGGTTAGGAAAGAATTTCTGTAGCTCTTGCTTTGTTCCTTAATCGTTAGATCTTTCTCCCAATTTGTACAGATTCTGCAATTCCAGGATCAGCCAGCAGGGGTCAGCAAGACCTCTTTCCTATATACTAACCATAAAGCAAGCCTACTTTTTCTCCCTTAAATACAAACACCAATGATAATAATACCCCATGAAACATCTTCATGGAAACAGTTGTCTTGAGAATCTTAAGAAGTGTAATTAATCCAAAACTTTATATAATCTGCCTACTCTCTGTCCAAAAGGAAGGCTGTTTTTGCTTATTTGTACTTTTTTCTCCTCAAGTGGATCTCAGTCATTGTTTTTAAAATATAAATTAGGAGTGAATAGTTCAGAGCCTTTGCCTATGAAGGCAGCATTGTAGGTACTCTGTCCTTTTGTCAGTCTAGAACATTCTCTGAAACTCACATCTGTACTGATTCTTCTCCTTCAGAAGGTGGCCAGAGGGGCCTAACTTAACCACCACAGAAAGCCTGTGTCACCACTAGCAAAACCTCTCTCTTCTTCCTGTGCATTTCCCTAGATGTTTACTGAATCTGACCTTCTTTTAGCTGATTTGCTGCTAGCTTATAGAAGAGGATTTTTTTTCTTTTTTCTTTTTTTTTAAAGGTACTGAGTTTTGGAGGGAATGAATGGATTCCAGGCATTATGTGGTCCAACTAGAATACACTTTCTCTGTCTGCATTTGACCAGTCTAAGTTATAGTAGTATCTCTGTATTGTTTAAGATTATACCTCTTTGGTTGCTGTGTGTAAGGATTAAAGCTGAATATAAGTGTACAGGTTAAGATTGATGTTGACTATAAAACCAAGTTCACTTTGAAGTTTTTTCCCTGGGGAGTAGAGATACTTGTCCATTTCCAAAAACAGCAAATATTCCTATGCAGTAGAATGACTGAACTTGTCTCTGAGGGAGTTGTTGAACTGTCGACAAGGGGCAGCCTGCTTCAGTTTCCCATACTGTTATACTCTTTTCCCTTCCATTCTCTAGAGTCAGTTGTCCAGAAATACACCATAGCAGCTTGCTCTTTGGTTCTGCGGAGTTGTGTGGCTTTGGTTTACCTGTTGCTGGTTTTCTGGAACCTTTGAGTGGTACCTTGTCCGAGAGCCTATCACATATCTGCTGCCTGCCTTATACTACTGCTTCTACCTAGGGCACTTCCAGTGACCTGAAGATAGAGCTTATTCCTTTGTCCCTTGTAATATGGATGTGACTTTCAAATTTTGAAAACATTTTAATATTCAGAAGAATATAGAGAATTGCGTAATGGCCCATTCATTTTCTACCTCCCAATGGCGACAAACCATTTCAAAGCACCTGGGAGTTGTGGCAGATCTCTGTGAGCATGGTGTTTGGTAATGTTAAGTAGTATAATTATGAGTCAGCAAGAAAGTGCCCACCTGCATTGTTTCTGGCCAATGTCATATTGGTATTCAGTGTTATCCAACATATTTGACATAGTAGGAAATGCTATTAGAAAGCCAAGATCTACCCATGGGCTCTTAGCAGCTGGCATATGACTTTTGGGAGAGTGCGGTAGTCTCTTCTTCCCTCAGAAAATTAAGAGTCTTTTTTTTCTTTTTCCTTTTTCTTTTTTTTTTTTTTTTTGGCTTTTCTCAGGGGTTTAGATGTGATAGTTAGGTCACCTACCTATTGACAAGGATAATCCAGAGGGGATTTTAACAGGAGATCTGCAAGGATGTCACTTAACTAAAAGCTGACAGCAAATGCTGCTTGGGCCATGTTAGCACCCTCCCCTAGCTTGTGCTTTTGGAATTAATATTTTTAAAGCTCTATCCCTTGGATGATCCAAGTTGGGGGACCACTAGCACCTGGTCTCAAAGTCTCTCTGTGCTTTGTTCTGCAGGAAAAACTCTGATGAGGCTGACCTGGTCCCAGCCAAGGAAGCCAATGTCAAGTGCCCCCAGGTTGTCATATCCTTCTATGAGGAAAGGCTGACGTGGCATTCCTACCCCTCGGAGGATGATGACAAAAAAGATGACAAGAATTAACTCTCCTGAGTACCAGCCCCTGTCACATCTGACTGTGGGTTTCAAGTGGGGAGGGGAAGGAGTTCTGCTTGTCTTGACACCATAGAGGTGGCTTGAGAAGATGTCCTTTGAAGAGCCAGTATAGTTTCTGTGCCCTACAGCAGCCCAAGTGCTTTAAAGCCGTTCCATGCTGTATAGTTTGCACACCCATCCGAGTGGAGGGGAAGGAGGATAAGTGTTTCAAGGCAACCCATTCTGCACTTTGCTGAGAAAAACAAAGGGCCTTCTATGAAGGACAAAACTTGCAGAATGGGCGTGTGGGAGAGCAAAAAGATACTATAGATCTTCAAAGAGCATCTCCACAACCCACAGCCTTCTTCCCAATAGTGTTAACTGCATTTTTACAGCGTAGCATGTGTGTAGTTTTTGACTATTACTGGTGTATTATTTGGGGGTGGGAGGGGTGGGGTGGGAAGGAAGGGAGATGGGTAGGATTGTTTTTGTTAAAATTTGGGGCCATGTTGGGGGAAATGGTGAAACAATGGATAGAACAGACAACTAATGATTTGGTTCTGTGTCCAGGATATTTTATCTTTTCAAAAAAATGTCATTGCCAATCTAACTGAGGACCGTGAGAGACTGTTTAAAAGCTGTGAATGCCTGAAACTTACAAGCCAAGGTGTTCCCTGCCTGAACTTAATGCTGTTCCCAACGAAGGACTAAGCCAGTTGATAAGTTACCAAAGCTGCCATTTTGGGGATGGAAACTGGTTGAGAAGGGAAAGTCTTTTTTTTTGGAGCATATATATAGGCAGATCATTCTGTCTTAGAGGTGCTAATTCTTGAAATTGACAAGAAGACCCTTTCTTTTCCAATTATGATGCTATAAATAATAGCTTGTCCATCCAAGTTACTGGCTGAGGTATTTGGGGAGGTGAAGAAGGTGACATAGGAGGCGTGAGCGTAAAGAAAAGGGCCCATGCTCTTAGGGTAGAGAACTTTGGAGCCTCTCTGTTTTCGACCTTTGGACTCTGAAACCATTGGTGGCAGGGTTTAGTCACTGACAGCACAAGTTCATTGAATCACTTCAAGAGTTGGATTATTTCAACAGCCCTGGTCTCAGGAGAAGATTAAACTTTCATACTGGGGCAGTGGTTCACTTTAAAAACACACACACAAGACTTTAATCCTGAGAATTAACTAATACCCAGAATGCCATCATGGCTCGTGAGATCCATCAATTCTTGACATCATCCAGACCTGCATCTAGGAAGTCACTGTAAAATTTTTTTAGGCATGTGTTAGGTTTCTGTGAAAACTGTTTAAATGTAAACTTCATACCACACTGTCAGTTTTTGTCTTAATAAAACTATATAGATTTATAATCCTTGATTTGTCTTAAGTCTTGCCAGAAATCCTCCTTGCCTTTTACTACCTTACAGGTTCACTGTTGGAAACATCTTCCACACTTAGATGGTTTTCTTGAACATTACAGGCTTGAGAATCTGGCACCTGGCCTGAATCTTTGAGTGGTCACCACATTAATTGAGTAAATATTTATTAAGCATTCATATTGATGCAGAGACTAAATATTGTCACATAATTCTGTCTTCATGTTACTCAAAGGTTTTATGTTTGTTTAGTATTCAGTGACCTGACAGCACTTCCAAACCATGATATGTTTGGAAACATGGGATTTTGAATTAGGTTTAGATCCTAGCTCATGTATTTCATAGATATGTGTGGCCTTAGCTAAAGTCAACCTCCCAGAATTTTCAGGAATTGACCTTGGATTTGATCACTGACTTAAAATGTCGTCTTATTTTCTTAATGTTGTTTTCTGCCTATAATTCTAGAGCCAAAATGGGACTAGACTCTGGTCATTGATAAAAATGGAAGGTGAGATTTCCACTGGGATCAAATCAGTGTAACAGTTCAGATCTGCTCTTTAGTACAAAGAATTTGTTTTAAGGAAACTGATGTGTTGGTACTTTATTCCAAAAGCCTCCTAGGAGTTTGGGGAGACATAAATAAGATGGAGCTGAGAGGCCTTTTCTGTGCAGAGATCTAAGTGTGTCCTTGTAATTGGCAGCAGCCGAGCAATCAGTAACTCCATAAAAGAGTTGCGGTGAGACGGGCAGTGGTCGTCTGGTTCTGTTCTGCATCATAAGATGCACTGGAATTAGCCTTCAGCCATGGTGTGTGCCCAGAGTGTGCTGCAGCTCGACTATAGCCTTAACCTTTGGAGCTTTCTTCATTGTCATTTCTGGATTCCTGAAATCTTGTAAGACCGTATCATCCTTTCCAGGGATGGACACTGGAACTGATAATACATACAATGGAAATTGAAGTGGAGATAGTCACAATTTTATCTTTAAAAGCCAATTTCACATTTCTAGATTCACGGTTTTTGGGGGGATTTTTTATGGGCGGGGGGTGTTTAAATATATTGGTTTGGGTGAGGGGCATTAACTTGCCATTCCACCCTTTCATGCATTCATTGGTTGATTCTTGTATGCGCCCTGGCTGGGGATTAACCCCGCAGCCTTGGTGTATTGGGACAATGCTGTAACCAACAGAGCTACCCTACCTGGTTAGAGCTAGATTCACTGTTTAAGAATAAATTTTTCTCAGGTGATCATTGATACCACAAATACATGCAGAAATGTTAGAAATGAAAAATACAGGCATAACAAGTCTTAAGTCCCCTTCATAAAGCATTTGGAGAGCATTCCTTTAGGAGGTACAAAACATGTTTGTTGGATGGCTTCAGTGAGATTGCATCATCATGGACCTCTTGCCCAGCAGTTGAAGAGGAGATAGGTTATTGCCTTAGTTACTGTTACAAAAGAACGAGAGAGCTTACTAATATGGTGACGGCATCCTTATTGGTGGTTACACTGGCAGAGCCAGTCAGGAAAAAAATACCTTGCTCCCCCACTGTCTTCAGTTGAGTTTCAAGTTAGTACAGTAAACTCCCAGTGTAATGACCACAGGAGTACACTGGAATAATTATTTCTGCTTTTCAGTGTCATTTGAAAGTTTTGACTACCAATTTTAACTAATTTTTAATAGTTGAGTGTTGTTACTTTCAAATATCTTATATACCAGAACTCATTCACACTCAGCTCAATTTGATTTTAACCCATGGCCATTTGGTGTTTGGCCATGTGTGCTCAGCACATTTTTATAGTCTGGCCTATGGCATTGGGAATCTGTGTTATAAGGTATTTATTTTCCTCATACAGAAAGGGAAAAACGATAGAGGAAATTGCTGCTCCAAAATAATTTGGTGGAACTGTAACTCTGAAATGCAAATTTTCTGCAATGGCTCTGGTACCTGAATTATGTATGGAGCTGGGTTCCATTTTGAGATCAAATTAATCTGATCAAGTTATCTGATTGGTATTAGTGTTAGTTTGATCTGCAAGTTGGATCTTCTCATGAGGATGTTCTCATTTAAAAATTTAGATCTGATAGGACTGAATTAAGCCCAGACTCAGTGTTTTCTCTCCTCTAGAATTTGAAATACTAGTACCACTACCAGGCCAGTGTTCAACTTAGTAAAGGAAGGAGTCTTGGCTTCACCTTGCCTTGTAGGAAGCAATCAAGTAGAGGCAAGCTAGTGTTCTGGTGTGTGGCTAACGAAGTTTGTTAGAGGAGCTTTAAAAAACACCAGACAACCATCATCCTCTATCTGTGCATCACCCTTGGTTTGACTATCCAGCATTGAGGTTTTCTCCAGAAATTACTGCTTTCCTAGCCAGTGTGTTCAAGTTGCTCATCTCTTTTTTATGAATGACTTTTAATTGACCTTGGCCTTGAGAGCTTCCTGCTGAATATTAAAAGCAAATGAAATCTGAAATAAAACCATCTGCAGAGATGAAAAGCATAGTTGGTCCTGCTCTGTGGGGGCAAGTAGTAACACTTAGTTGACCCTTGAACACCACAGGGGTTGGGGCACTGACACCCCTCCCCCATGCAGTTGAAATCCACAAATAACCTGGCTCCCAAAAAACAGTAGGTCAGTAGCTTACTATTGACCAGAAGCATTGCCAATAACACAGTCGATCAACGTATTTTGTATGTAACATATATACTGTATTCTTAAAAGTTATTTTTTAAATCATAAAAGGAAATTACAGTATTTATTTTTAAAAACGAAGACACCTTGTTCAAGGGTTAACTGTAATGTTTCCAAGGCTTTTTTTTCCCCCCTTAGGCCAGTGACGTGGCAGAACTCCAAGGTAAGTTTGAAACATTAAGTTACAGTCGTGCTGACAATTCAGTTCTATAGTTTTTGTTTATTTTAAATAGCTTGTGTTAAAATACTCAACAGCAGGTCTGGGTCTGCACTATGACCTTGTTGGTGTGCATGGTGGTGATAGTACCAAAGCAGCTGTTTACCCTACATGGATTTTTCAATCTCGTTGACTTTGACCATTGCTACCCTGTTTACAGTTTGCATAGCCTGGGGTCAGGCTGGGCAACTTTGGGGCCTTGGCTCTCGGACAGGGTAGAGCACCAACTCTTTGGTCTTCCTCCACCTCTCCCCATGTGAACTGAACTAGGTTTTGTTTCCTTGGTTGAAACAGCATCTGGAATGAAGTAACAAATACTCTGCAACCTATCTCCAGTCTGAAGTTAAAGTTAGACTGGAAAAGAACCAACTTTAAGACTATCATTGGTATTTTTGTGTACCCAAAAAGGGAGACAAGAGGTTCTATCCAACAAGTTTTGAAAACACACCTCTTTAGCAAGGTCCCATACTCTTCCTCAGGAGACAACTGGTATACTAGATTCTGTTTCTAATTTAGGCAGATGTGAACTTTCAAAGAATCCCTGGACAGAACAAGGACTAGAACTCAGATCAGGTGTTAAGGGCCCATGTATTCCCCAGAGTCCCTGCATGCTCCCATGATGAAGCCAGAAGTAGAGGCAAAGAGCATCACTGACCTCTCTGTCAGAAGAAAGGTCAGGGAGGGTTACTGTTCTTCGTACACTGACAAAATGACAAGTGAGAGGTCTTTGGGTCGTTACTCATGTGCTAGGTGAATCAGTGATAGAACAAGAAGGCTTAGCCACTTATGATAATCAAGCACATGGGTGTTGCTAGAGAATTTCTACACCTGGCTGGGAAAACAACTTCCAGAAAAAGAGACTAATTTAAGGACTTTAACTTGTGGCTGGAGGTGCCTTAAAGCAATTGGTTAGTCTGACCCTCTAAAGCTGTTGTTCTAGATCAGTGCCTACCGGGTGTGGTGTAGGAGGCTTGAGGGTGGTGGGCTGTTATTTTGCCTGCAAGACACTTGTTCTTCCAGCAATTTACCAAAGAAAGTTGTAGAGCAGCAAGGCCTGATGTAACCCAGGGTTGTAAAGGCAGGGCCTAGGGCATCCTGAGGAAGATGCGCCAGCTGTTTGACTAGTTTCTGTATAGCTTTCCCTGGTAAGGGTAGGGAGTCAGCCATGGAGGCCAGGTCTTGCAGACAGTTTCTAGATCACTATAGCGCTCCCCCCACCCCCTTCATTGGTGAGATCTGTCCAAGGAAGATGTTGAAACAGTGGGTCTCTCTTCATTTTCTCACATGAATTTAGATGTATGGAAAATTGATTTGATTGAAGCCTCAGACTGTTGAAGAAAGCAAACCTCTTACCCCCACCCCAAGCAGGTCACACTGAAGTTTGGTCCTTGGTTAAGGATTGAAGCCTAGTCTTCTCACTTCCTGTCTTAGGTGTAACAGCTCTTTCACAGGCCTTGAGCCCTCTTATTTTCCTGCCAGAAAAAACCTTGAAGCTGAACACCAACTCCACCTGCCAGCAGCAAAAGAGGTCAGCCCCATAGCAGTGCTGACCAACTTGGCTCAAAGCCCCAGTTAATCACTGCTGTGATCCCAGACCCAACTGTACATCTCTCCATAAGGGGGCATGGGAGAGGGGGTGAAAGTAAAAATACTTTCTTAGAGTAGAGGCAACACTAGCAAAGGGGGTAAGAGAGGGTTTTTCACTTGAAAAATCTTTACATCTCTTAAGCTTTAAAAAATAAAGTTGCAAAACAAGATAAAATTTCATCTAATAGTATACTAAACAGACCAAAATACATACAGTTTTAGCAAGGATATAAAAACATTACTCTGAATTTTACTTGTCGGTTTACTCACAAATAATGTTTTTTATCAACATGAATTTCTTCAAGCTTAAATTTTATAGTTTTTTCCCCCCCTTCTTTAAGAGTCTTCGTTTTATTTGGCCAACAAATAATTTCTAACTAGAGAAGCGCTTGTTTATTTGACCAAGTCTTTCCAGCTAGAGATGAGGGGAAAGCCATTGTAAATGGAAACAAGTTTAAGAAATCAATGTTGTTCTTGGAATTTTATTCCATTCCTTAGGATAAACTCTCACAGCATCATCAAAGGACTAGGCCAAGCCAGGTCACACAGTTGTGCAGGGGAACTCAAGGTCACAGGTTCCATTACAAGGATCACAGCTTCCGGTTTTAAACCTTGTCCAGTTACCTCAGACTGCTAGTGAGCATTCATTACTCAGGCATTTGCTACCTACCTCAAGATGCACATGTGGCAGTTCCAGAAAGAATGGGTACCTTGCTGCATCCAGCCCTTCAAAGGCTTGGTATTAAGTCAGCTCTTTTGGAGGGAGAATGTATCCTGGTCACCTCAGCTGGGGCTTTCTGATGCTTAAAACCTGGAGTCTACCTTCCTGTTTCTCAAGTTCTGTGGCCCTACCCGTTAAACAGAAGCACCTGGAATGTATTGGCCCTATTGATTTCTTAGGTTTTCACCATCGCAGTTATGTGTGTCTACATTCCAGTGCTCTGCAACCCTTTGGCAGGTGGGGTCACCAGAGAAGTAACAGTACAATCCAGACAAATGCTGTTACAGGTGGGCAGGTAATACGGAGCTGGGCCGGGTGACACCAGCTCCATCTAGCCTAGCCCTAGGAGAAAGGTCAAAGGGATTCTGAATCCTTCCTCTCAGAAGACTGCTGGCAAACCTCGTAAAGAGGTACAGAACACCTGCTTGGAAGGTTATTAATACAGTATTTAAGACTTTTGTCTAGGTTACTCGTTGTCAGCCTCCCCCCTTCCCATATGAGCTCTGCCATAGCCACATAATGGCCAGTCCTCGTGAGGCCTATTTACTGTTTAAATTAAAGATAGGGAAAAACTGCACTTGAGAATGAATCATCCATTTTATTTTATTTTGTCATGTGTTCACAACCTCTTCTCTCTCTCCTCTCCCCTCCCTGGCAGGTCACAGATAAATTAAAAATAAAGTCTACAAGGAAAATAATTTATAAAAGCACTTCCCAGGCTCCTACTGTTCAGTTAATGTGTTGCCCACCCCCACCCCCCAAATGGGGAGAGTCAGCACTTCCCCTACTCAACTCACCCCTGTTATTCCAGACAGGGGCGGGGGGCAGCAGTAGCAAACAGTTAAAAAATAAAGACACTGGTCCTGGAACCATACGGCCACCTTGGCACTCCCCTCTCTGCCTCCCCCCAGGCAGTTCTCCGGGAGCCCTTGCTGAGCTGGGGGCGCTGAGAAGCTACCTGTAGCCAAGAGCCTGGGGTGGGGGAAGGTGCTCTCAACCACCATCATTACATGCACTTCTCATTCTCCTAGGAAGACACCCAAAAAAGAAAGCAGAGACCTCGGGACGGAAGAGAAAAATCCCAAATGTCACACAGTTACACGGAGTCTTTATGGCAAAGAGAACATTTAGCAGCTTTGAATATTGGGGTATCTCCTTTTTACTCAACACAAGCATTCTAGACCCTATAAGTGAAACAGGGCTCAAGCCCTTTAAAAAAAAAAAAAAAATCAAAAGCGCAGGAAACTCTAGAGGACTATTTTGTTGTTGCTGGGTTTTGTAGTTTGTCTTTTCCAGTGACAAGCCCAGTTGGTGGCGGGAGGCCTGAGGGGGTCACTCCCCAGTATTGTGCTGAACACTACCTGGCTTCTCCACATCATCCCCTTGCCTCAAAGCAGCCCCCAGGAGGCTGCAGGCCCATCACTGGGGGGCACTGCCAGCACCCCAGCTGCATATGAGCTCTGGGCAGCCAGTGAGGGGCCGGGAAAGAACAGCATTTGCATGCAGGTTCTGATGGAGTTGTGGGAGCCTCAGCTCAGGGCTAACTGGGCACCAAGGGAGATGGAGTGGCAGGGCAGTGAGTGACATGCTTGGTGTTGGGGCTGCTGCAACACGGGGCCTTGTGATCCTTTCCTGTTCACTCTACCCTTTAACCCTAACCCTCCAAACTAGTATTGGGTCCCAGTGGCTCCCCGACATTGAAACATTCAAGGAGATATCTCAGGGTCTCCCCTTCAGGGATGCCAAAGTGCAGGAGCAGAAAGAGTTCACAAAGCCCCTCCCAGAACCCACCTTGTCTGTTCCACCCCTTCCCTAGGGTGAAGTGGGGTTTATTCACACCAATGACTTAGTCCCACCTAAAACCTGCCACCTGGAATCCTGGTCAGATTCAATCTTAACCTGCATTTTTTTCAAGCTTTGATTTTTTTGGTTTCTTTTCTTTCCTTCCTTTCTTCCTGGAATGAGACTTGCTACTACTTTCCTCTCACAAGTCCCTCCCTTCCCCTTTGTCAGCCTCTATCAATGCCATCACCACCCCACCTCTTCCCTCAAATGAAAGGGGGATGAGTGAGGACCCTGTCCACCCAGACAGTCTGGCTATTTCCACTCTCCCCAGTGGGGGAAGCTGAGCCAGACAGCGCCTGTGCCCACCTCTTCCACTGACCGACAGTCATCCCATCTGAGATCTATTGGATAAGAAGGCATTCAAGTCCCCCTGCTGTAGGTCCAGGTCCAGGCCCAGCCCTTCTCCAGTTTCAATCTTGGTGAGCGTCAACCCCTCCTTCCGCCCCAGGCTCACTTTCTCCGGTCCTTTGGCTTCCTCTCCTGTCGCCGGGCCTGCTGGTCAGCCAGGGTGCGGGGAATGAGGAGGACACTGCCATCCCCGGCATACTGGAGAGCATACTGACTGGGTGAGTAAGGTCGCCCATTCTCATCTCGCAGCCGCCCAAACACCTCCTGGTACAGGTTCTGGACCTTCTGCTTCATCTGCCGCAGGGACCGGAGGAACTCCACTTTCTCCCTCAGCAGTCGGGCTTTATCACGCTGCAGGTCCTCCACATCCCGCTCCAGGTTCAGGATGGTGTCCAGCTTGCGTTTGCGGCAGTTCTGTGCCGCCATCTTGTTCTTGCCCCGGCGCCGGATGTCCCGGATGAGGCTCAGCTGGGCTTCACTGAGCTGGTATTTGGACAACAGCTCGTTGAATTCCTCCACAGGCAGGTTGATGATTTTGTCATTGGTGAAGGGGATCTTCATGGCTCGGGCTCGATGCTCATCCCGGCTCATCTGCTTGTCTAGGAAGTCAGCCTGCTTCTCCTTGCTGCCTTTCTTGAGGGTGCTGGGTGCTGGCAGGTCAGCAGAGTCGAGGGCACTGGGAGCCATGTTGTAAGTGTGGTTGTGGCCCACATGCTCCAAGTAGGGCAGGCAAGAGAGCTGAGACGGATCCTGATAGCTCATGCGGCAGAACTTGGAATACTCAGGCTGGTAGCCCACAGCACCCTCCACCTCTTCTAGATCCAGAGTTTCAGAGTCAGAGCTGTAGCCAACAGCACCTTCCTCAGAAAAGGAGGAAGAGGCTGAGGAAGAAGCGGAGGAGGAGGAGGAGGAGGAGGAAGACGAGGAAGAGCTGCCTTCAGAGCTGCTCAGGGAGGAAGGGCTATGGCTGGAGTCCAAGGAAAGGCCTGAGTCAGAGTCAAATTCCTCTTCAAGCTGGGAGGCCTGCACGGAGTTAAAGCCTTCTTCAATGGCCAGGTCCATCAGGCTGATCTCATCCAGCATGGCTTCATCTAACAGACCCCCAAGCGGGTCAGGCAGCTCAGGGCCTACGGTGTCATTGGCTGTGCCATTGAGCTGGGGTGGAAAGAAGAGACCCGCCAGGTTGGTGGAGCTGAAGGTGGAGTTGAGGCTGGTGGAATTGCTGGGGACCAGCGGGAGCAAAGTGGAGCTGCTGGCCGCAGGCAGGCTCTCCACCTCGGGGCTGAAGATCGAGAAGTCCTGGCTGCAGCCTCCCAGAGATGCCTGATGCAGGCTGACATTCTGATTGATGGGAGTGTTGGGGGCAAGGCTGTAGTTGGTGCTCAGTGGGTCTCCAGGAGGGGCATTGTACAGGATCTCACTTGTTGATGTATTCACTTCCATGGCCTAGGAGGGGAGAAGAGTGTCACCTTTCATTCAGTGCAGACTCCCTCCCCAGGTGAGGCTGGGGGTTTACCTTAGCAGGCACCCAAAACAGGCACAAGTGCATGAATATAAAGACAAAAGACTGGAAATCAGAACCCACGGCATCAGCCCTTGGCCCCGGTTGATCCACTAGGCCTGGAAGAGATGGGTTCCTCCCCATGTATTCCACCCCAGTGCAGGACTGACGAGCTCATATTTGGCTATGCTCTTCCCCATCTTGGAAGGAGACTTAAGGAAACACCTAACACTGACTACCTCTTCGTTGCAAAATCAGCACAGTAAAAAGACAACCAAATCTTGGAGTGAGATAACCTAGCTACACACTTGCTCTGTGACCGTGGGTATTCTCTCTCAACCTCTCCGAGCTTCCATTTCCTCGCCTTTAAAATCATAAAGGGCTGACTAGATGATTGTGAGGGCCAAGTGAGACGATAACGGCTGTAAAGCACTGCATGAATGTCAGCTTTTATTACTCCTAAACTGTGGAAACACCCAGCCAAATGATTATCTGCTTGGAGGAAAAGAAGGCCTGCCTAGGAGGCAGGCCCACTCTAAAAGGCTCAAGCCCTGGGGGTTTACCCAAATCCCACTCGACTCTGCCCCCTACTGCCCCAGGGAGACACTGAGACGGTTACCTCTCAGTGTTCCCACTTTCCTACGGATCAGAGATGTCAGGCTTTGTCTTCCCAGAACAGGAAAAGCAACTGAGTGCTTAGACACCCCACAAAAAGTCCAATAGGTTTGTGCCCTGTTCTGATAGTCCTACCTGCATTTCCATGATGGACATGAGATCTTGCCACTGCTGTTCCAAATCAAATGGTGACTCTGTCCCCGTCAGGAGAGGAGACAAGAGGTTGTTTTGAAGACCTGGGGGCTCACTCTCACTAGGCACTGCTTCTGTTAAGCTGGAAATGTCTGCTGGAAACTAGGGCAAAACAGAGAGGCTTTAAAAGGGAAAGAAGGAAAGACCATCCTTCTGCTTTCCTCCCGGAGACTACCACCTGAGGTTCTGTTTCTTCCTTTCTCTGATTTCACCCCCAGCAGCCAGGACAAGGCCAGCACCCAGAGTTGGCCCCTCAGGCACCCGCGGAGAAACACTGTGTGCAGGCTGCCCTGCTGGCTTGGTGGGCTCTTCCTGGAGTCCTGCTCACCTCAGCATTCTCCCCAAAGGGGCAGGTGGCCTCCAGCAGCCTAAGGCACTCTTCCAGGGACAGGGCTGTCTGGTCCTCCCCACCAGGCACCTGTGGCAACAGCAACTGTAAGTCTGACTCATCTGGGCTCTGGTTGCCTACAGGCTTGAAGCCTCTTCTCTTCCTCAGCCTTCCCAAGGGGATGCTGAGGGAAGACCTGCATGGTTGCAGGTCTACACTCTTCCTCCATTCCTGGGCTAATGACTAACCCTAAGTCCCAAACTCCAGGGGAGAACAGAGGAAGGGTGAAAGAGTCCTGACGCACGTAGCTATCTGCTAGGTGCTTTGCCTCGTCTGGGCTGTTCGTTACCAAGGCCTGGCCCCTCCGCTTCTGTTCAGCTCATCCACTCCACCTTTCTCAGCCCCCTTCACTGTGACTGACATGGAGACCCCAACCCAAAATATACATTCAGGTCCATCCCCCAGATACAACTGCCTTCTCTGAGAAGTTTCTGGGACTGAGGAGAGGTGAGAGTACCTGGGCAGGGAAGCTCTCCCCAGTTTCTCCATCCACTAGCAGGTTTCGTGCCAGAACTTCTGCGCCCTCGCCTGGCCAGGTGTCCTCCTGCTCCGTTCCATCTTGCAGTTCCTTATCCACATCCTGCTCTTTCTGGCGATGACTATAGTCAAAAATCTCACGCCCAGCCCCCAGGTCAATATCCTGTCGCCAAAGGATGTCAATCAGATCTATGTCCTGAAAGACAGATCACCATGACTTTAGCTCATGGGTCCAGAGGCCCCTCCCTCCCTGCCCTGCCTCGCCTCTCAGAGATCCTTCCTAGCGTAACTCCAATTATTCCCTTCCAGCCTCTACTCCCTGCCACCCTGTACCAGCATGGCTTCATCCATCCGTTTCCAGACACCAGCCTCCAAAAGAAAAAAAACCAGGAGCGAGCAAAAACCACTAGCACGACCATCACCATGCAGGTCTGTGCACTTAGGCTCTGAACCTGAATCGCAGCCCAGCCAAAAGGCAGGGCCACCTCATCTAAGAAGGAAAGGGCAAGTTGAGACATTTCTCATTTGGGGAATGGGAATCCTTTAAAACATGGTTTGTAAGAGGCTGGCCACAGCAAGCAAAGGCGAACTGTCAGCCGAATTGCTTTGTGGTGGCCAGGCTTGCATCAGCCTATGGTGCCATTTCATTTGCATAAAGGGGTGGGGTGGGCTGGAGAGGAAAATCCCTGCATTTGCAACCACCTGATGCAACCAATGACAACGATAGGCTGTCTCCAGCCCTTCCTCAAGTCATTCCCCCTTCCCCGGCTGAGGCAGGAGTAAAGCTGAACACCCACAACTCTTAAAGCCCAGGCTCACCTCAAGATCCATCCCTGCCAAAACCCCCCCTCTCAGCTGATGCTAGCAAGCTGCTGATCCCAGGAGAGCTTCCAGCAGTCAGCTGATCCTCACTGGGCACCCCACCCCTGCCAAAGGCTGCTCCACGGTGCCCCCTCACACCAGAGCTCTCACTCCCTTACCACACCCCAGGGCTCACCGACTCCCCATCAGTCAATCCCCCCAAGGACGCAGCCTCCATCACCACTTAGCCACAACTACTGCCTCGGGTACCAAAATGCCTCCCTTCTGCCCTACCCTGGTGACTCTTGAAGTTCCTGCACCAACTGCCACCCCCAATGCCACCAACATAGAACCCCAATAAATACGAGCTATTTGGGCTTTTCTACACATGCCAACCTGTATGGCTAAAGAAACACTACGCTGCTGCGCTGCCTTCCATTCAGAGGTTAAAAAGCTGGCACTTTTCAGAAAGCAATATCCTTAGATTAGACCCCCACCCCCCAGCCCTGACTAGGTATCCTTTTCCCACCGTAACCCTCCCTGATCCCAAGACCTCCCACCACGTGTACCTTTCCGTTTGGTCTCCCCACATACACCAACCTGAACAGAAGCCCTGGACCCAGAAGCAGAGGGGGGCTGGGCCACCCGGTGACCAGCCAGCAAAGAGTTAAGGGGCCTGCTCCCTTTGGCAGGGCCCCCACCACTGTGAGAGCTGCGGTCCAGGCGGGTCATGGTCTCCGAGATGAGCCCCGGGGCAGCCGGTGCGGGGAAGCCGGACAGGGGGCTGCAAGGAGCTCTTGGCTTGCAGGGAGCACACCAGGCTGGAAGGGTGGCCCCGAGCTAGCTCCGAGGGGCCTGAGGAGGTGCCCCGCCCGTACTGCTGCCTGGGCGGCCCAGCCCAGCCCTCTTCCTCCATCCTTGAGTAGCCCCCTCCCACCTCACAACCCCAGTTCCACTCAGGCACCCGGCAGCCCCCACCCTGAGCTCACCGCAGAGGCTGCAGTGAGATGGGACTCCCACCCCATGCTCCGTGCTCAGGCTGCAGAGGAAAGCAAGCTCCCTCCTGGGCCTGTCCTCCCACTCCTCCCTCTCTCCCCCTCCCCACGCCCCCCAAACTTGTTACCTAGGCTGCAGCAAGGAGCCAATCCCCTCCCCCTCCCACCCCGCAGGTCACTGCTGAGGCTGCAGAGAACCAATCCCCTCCCCCAGGTCAGCAGCTGGGCTGCGGAAAGAGCCAATCCCCTCCCACTGTCGTTACCTAGGATGCGACGGGAGCCAATCTCCTCCCCCAAGTCTCCGCTGGAGATGCGGAAAGAGCCAATCCCCTCCCACCGCCTGTTACCTAGCTGCAGCCCGTAGCCAATCTCTGCACCAGGGCAGCTGGAGAAGCTGCCGCAAGGAACCAGCCCATCTCTGAGCCGCCTCCGTCTCCTCAAGGAGACGCACCCAGGGGCGGGCAGCCCCACCCAGCCCAGTGAGCCAGCGGGGGTGGCGCAGTGAGAGAGCCCTGGGGGGGGAAGGGGTGCCACTCTCCCTCCAGTCGCATCCTGCTTACCCAGCCCACTCAGGACTGGGCAGACACTCCTCCTGAAGCTTCTGCGGGAATTTAAGTTGTTCCCTGGAAGTGGAAGGAGTTTGTTTTCCCGTTCCTCATGAGGGCTGTGGTCAGTTGTCCTCAAGCCCAAGGATCACAAGCCAGGCTGGGTAGGAACCCAGCGCACCCAGACCCACTCGCAGCCAGGGGCTTTGCTACCTTAAAACAGGCCAGACCAGAGGAAGGGAAAATGCCACTTACACACGTGCAGTAATGTCACAGTGATGACCAGGCCCAGCCCCAAGCAAGAGAAGGACGATGTAAGCCTGAAGGCCAGCTCTGAAGTAGACAGGTGTTCTGAAATGCCGCAGTGTCCTGGCTAAACATCCCCCACTATCTTTACCCTAGCTTTGTTCGAGAGCATCTCTGCCTGGCCCCTGGCCCGCATCTCTGAAAAGCAGGAAAGACCCTGACAAAAATCAGGATCACAGACCTGACTCTCCTCCTCACTGCCGCTCCTCTTGAGCCTAAGGTCAGGTCAGGGACAGTATGTTCTCCTTGGTCACAGACTGCTCCTTGCCTGGAAAGAGCTGTACACAGGCCACCCTTGCCCTGGGCAGACTGCCAGCCTCGAGGGGAATCCTATCCCTGACAAGGGCCTCGGCTATGGTTGTCCATCGAGCAGGCCTAGCAGCAGGGGAGCGCTGCCACCCAGGGAAATACCAGCTCCAGTAATGCCTGTCACATGCTCTAGACCTGAGTATTTTTATCCATGAGTTGCTGAGGAAATGTTGTTCTAGACACATAATAATCCTCTCTCTCCCCATACCCAGCCTGGGCCCCTAATGCTGACCCACCACCAGCTCCCAAAAGGAACAGTGAAGGCATGGTGTCTGGGAACCTAACCTGCACAAAGGCCAAGAAATGGAGGAAAGCAGGGTCAGAGTCCCACCCCATCCACATTATATCCAAAACATCCCATCCCAGGAGAGCTCCTAGTAGGGATAGGAATGGAGCTACCCCTACGGGGTTCCCAAGAGCAAGCCAGTTACACCCACCCCTAGGGGAGCTACAATGGAGCAGGAGGACGAAACAGGAGGCTAGCAGGCATACTTCTTCAGACCCCTGGCTAAGACTGGAGTCCACTTGAAGGGAGCAGAGGAAGCAGAAGAGAGGTTCAAGTTCCCAGTGGCACTATAAGAATCTAAGACAAGATGCACTCCCATGCTCAGATAATTCTAGTCTCTAAGTAGATCCAGCAAGGGCCAGGTAAGCAGTAGAACCACCCCTATCACTACTGACATTTGGGGACTGTCTTGTTTTTTAGGAAGTTTGACGGCATCCCTGGCCTCTCCTCACTAGATGCCAATAGCACTTCCTCTAGTTGTAACAAACAAAACTGTCTCTAAACATTGCCACATGTCCCTTGGGGAGCAACCCCCCCCCCCCTAGTTTAGGACCTCTGGCCCAGAGGAAGCCATATGCTTTGACAGTCACTAACATTCACAGAGAACTGAGCTCAGGAACAGGTTCAAGTACAGGGCACTTGAAGGCAAAACCTGGTCTGACTGTTGGTCAGAAAAAGGCAAGTTCACTATCTGCGACACTTTTTACATCCCCTCTCCCCACCCCCAACCCCCAAGACTCAGTTCCAGAAAACACAACCCAGTGCAATCCTATCTTCTCTTTCCCTAATAGCCAGGAGACTGCAGTGGGCATTCTTTAAAGCGTCTTGGGGCTGAGTGGCAAGCCAGGACCAAACATAGAGCTCGAAGCCATTTTATCATCATGTTGGTAGGGCAGGGGCAGAAGTAGCCATTCGCATCGTTAAAGGCAACTGCATCACTTTGCCCAGAACAGTGTGTCAGCCACATGTCAAAGCGAAAGTCAAAGCAAAATGACTTAGGCAGCAGAATGCAGTTCCTCTTAGAGCTCCCAGGCCTCACCTTCCTACTCCCTGCCGTGGGCCTTTAGCGAAGACGGGAGCCTTGATCCTAACTGGACCAAGAAGAACTCTCTAAATCTACCCCTTGGCTCAGGCCCAGAACAATACTTATCAGAACCTTAAAACAACAACAAGACTAACCACAAAGGAGGAGAACTTCAGGATATGTATGTGTTTTGATGTGGGGGAAGGTAGAGGGCAGGAGTCCACAAAGTATTTGTATCTTAGCAACAGATACACACCGAGTCAAAGCCCATCACAACATGACTCCCTCCCCCACCCCAAGGCCTCCAGAAGTCATGTTGAAATCTAAGCAGTAAACACACTGGCATGTTCTAGGAACCTCCCACTGCCCTGACAGTACATGCAGAGGTGGGTCAATGGTTCAACACAGGAAATGCTTCCAGCCCCCAATCCCAGTCAGACAATTCAGCCCATTTCTATCCAAGAACAATGTCTGAGACACAATGTCCCCCCTACACACACCAGAACCCCTCTGGTTCTTTACAGGAGTTAGTTCTATGACCACCACAGTTCTCCAGGACCAGCCCACCCACATGCCCAACCAGATCCCTCCCCCCGACCCCTCCATGTGGCCACTAACCTCTTTGGTTAAGTCTCCACTGACTGGAGGGGCTACAGCCCCCAAATCCTCCAAATCTTCACTGAATCCCTGCTCCGTTTCGCTTTCTCGCACCCCGTTGTCTGGGCCTGTCACATCTTGGAGGCCACTGGAACTCTCGAGGGCAAGGCCTGAGCTGGGCTGGCTGCCAGAGACAGACCCCTCCGGATCCCGGTGGACCAGCCAGGCGTTTACCTCAGTGGTCGGCACCTGGAACCTGTCCAAGGCCCTCACCTGACTGAGGAGCCGCCGGGCAGTGAAGTAATTGTCCAGGTCTATGCTCTTGGGGTGGATACCATAGCCATCCAAGGTATTCCTCAGGTTGTGGAACTGGGTCTGAGTATAGGCAGAACTGGGCCCCAGGATGATCTCCCGGAGCGGGGGGAGCTGTGAGGTCAGGTAAGTATCCACGTCCACCCGCACCCCAATCAAACTCAGCAGAATGGTGAACTGGAGGAGTCCTTCCGTTAAGTATTTCTTCAGAGAAAGCATTGCTGAAGAACCACAATGTTTATGCTTTTTGGTTTTTAAATCTTCCAAAAGACAAATCAAGGCCACTGCTCTGCTGCTCCAGCCAGCAAGTTACCCCCCTCAGTGCCAAACCCTGTACCCCACCCTGGCAGAACACCGGGGCTGAGCTCCCTGATGGCCTAAGAGGAAAGCACACCCCGTGGAGCCAAGGCCGCACTCCAGACCACATTCACTTTTCCCTTCTCGACACCTCACCTCTGAAAGTACAACTGTTCCTGACCCAGTCCAGGCCCTCGGGGCCCACGTGACTTACTTTCTCCACAGTCCACATACAGTCACTTCCTCACTCACATTAGTTGTCCTCTCTGTAGATTCCACTGCAGGCTGTTCTCAGGAACAGCTGATGGGGTGTTTTGTTTTGTTTTGTTTTTTGGTTTTTTTTTTTTCCTTCTCTCTCCTAAGGTTTATTTTCTTTGGCTGGAGCTACAGGCCTTTTGTCTTGGGTCAGAGTGTCCCGCCTCCTCCACACTTACCAGGGGGGTTTCCAGAGAAACCTGAAATGAGAATCACAAGAGCAACAAGATAAGATTCCATAATTTCCACATCATGATCGAGGCAGAAGGTAGGAAACACATGATCAAGCCACTTTTACAGGAGTGAAAAAAAAAAAGTCAATTATACTCCCTGAAAAGCAAAAACCTTTTACAGACAAAACAACTATGAAAGGAAGTATTGCTCACAAAGGATTAAAGGATCCCTGCTTCTGTAGATTAAATGTGCAATACCCTAAAAACGTAGCTTCTTGTGGACAAGCAGATGATGCCCTGGGCATCCAAAATATTTTACATGTTGCCAGACTTACGAACCCTCCCCTCTACCCCACACACCACTACCCAGCTTCTATTTTTAGCATGAAAAGTCCATTTCCTATCTTAAAGGAAAGTTAGTTGTTTCTCAGGAGAAAACTACCTACAAGTTCTGTCCCTTCTGAGTTCTATAGGGGAAGAAAAGATTATTAATATATGAGTGTAAAAGGCCATATTCCATTCAGGCCAGCACTTCACAGAAAAGGATAATGCCTTTTGTTTTCTCAAGTTTGAAATCTGACTTCCATTTCCCATCATTTTCACGATTTAAAAAAAAAAAAGCGGGAGTGGGTATTCAAAGAGGAATATGGGGGGCGGGAGGAGTTGTGCCAGGATTATTTGGTACAGTATTTGCATAGGCGGGTTTTATTTTCATTCACATGACCTTCTGAGCCAAAAGAGAAGGATATGGCAAAGTTCTCAGCCCAGAGAGCCAAGTGGGGAGGGAATAAATCTGCGTGTCTTTCAGTTTCTGGTCTCTACTTTTGAGTTTCTATTAACCTTTTAAACCAAGACACAGCTCTCTTCACTGTTGTGACCCACCTACTAACTTCATGCTAAGGGGTAATAGGGATCTACACCTACCTACCTACACACACACACACACACACACACACACACACTCTCTCTCTCTCTCTCTCTCTCTCTCTCTCTCTCTCTCTCGGTTAGAGTAAGCAGTTGCGACCCAGAGTTTCAGCTTACACTGCCCTCCCGTTCTCACGCAATTTATTACTATCAAGAGCCAATTAAATTCGAGAAACCTGACAAGGTCCCTTAAAGATCAAGTTAAGGCCAGAGGCCTCTGGCCTAAGCCCGGTCCCACCCTGCCCCGGATACCCGAGTCCGGCTGAGACCAAGTCGCCATGCCCTCTCTCGGGTCCTCGGCTTCCAGCCGTCTGGGGCAGCAACGAACAAGTGCTACTTTCCCGGCCTTGACCCACCCTTACTGCCAAATCCCATCCCGCCCAGCGCTGTGGCCCCACCCCGCGCCCAAGCCCGGGCCTACCACCACGCCTTCTCGCGCTCTCAGCCCTCCCCAGTCCAACCCACCCGGGAGCCCGCCGTCTCCTCGGACTCGCAGCCCCTCCCTGACAGGCCCAGGGCCCGGCCCTGACGCGAACCCAGCTCGACTGCCCGCTCCCGCCTCCTATTCCTCAGCTCCACCCCGCCGCCCTTCAGCCCCTAACCCTCGGCCCCGCGACGCTGCGCGCCTCCCGTCAGGGAAAGGACTATGTCGGATACCCGCTGCTGAGCTAGGCGCCCGCCGCTGCTGCCACAGCAGGTCCTCAAGCCGAGTCCCGGCCTTGCCGCCGCCGGCCGGCCTAGAGATCCCGAGCCTCCGCTTCCCTCCCCGCCCCCTCCTCCCACCTCACTCGGAAGCCCACCCTCTGCGGCCAACACGTTCATCCAATCAATGAGCTGAGGCAGTTGCCGTCGCCGGATGTCACTTTGATTGACAGCAGAAAGAGCCCAATGGCTGAGTGTACCTCCTCCTTTTTCCAGATTTCCCAAGACAGGCATGATCCACGGCCCAATGGGCGTGTAGGCCCGCCCCACGGCGTGGGCCCACCAATAAGTGGGGCGAAGGCCCTATCGCCCCCGGTATTCTAGCCCTCTCCGCCGTGCGCCGGCCGCAGGAGGTGTTACAAGTCGGCCGGGCAGCAAAGTGTGCATAGGAGCGCTTCCAGTGCTTTCTTCGGCTGGGGAATAAAGGCTTAGAGCATGATAGGGGGGGCAGTATCGCCGCCGGAATGCGGGATTACCCCTTTGAGGGTTCCCACGGTGACTTGCAAAAGTCCAGTGAGACCTGGCGGGGGGGAGGCGTGTCGAGGCAGAACACAGAGCATGTGTTTCCCGTAGTGGCGACGGTTGTGTCGCCATCTTGGGTGCTGGCAGCGGAAAGCGCTGTGCTCGCTTCCGCTTCGTGAGGGCCTGGAGGAACGCCCCGTTCCAGTCAGAGGCGGATGTTTCCCAGTCCAAAGCAGGAGTTAACGCGGGAACAGCCTTGGGAGCGGGTTGCCAGGGCGATGGTGGGGACGCTGCTGATGTGAAGGATGTGGCGTAATTAGCGATTTTTGTTAAGATAAACACCCCGAAGAGAAAGAGCTCCGCCTTCCCTCCCTGGTCTCCCCCGCCCAATCGCCCACGAGTTCAGTCTTGCCTTTCAGGAACTTTTCTCAGTTTTTGGTGTTCTCCAATCTCGTCTAGCCATCACCTTTGTGATTTTCAAACATGTGTTTATTCCCCAGCATCATCTGAGGAACTTGTTAAACCTGTAAATTCTGAGTCCCTGTCTAGGGATTCTAATTCACTTACCCTGGGTTGGCGGCCTAATAATCTGCCTGCTTTTTAAACGACTTGGGTAAATTTAATGCAGCTGGTCCCAAGACGGCATTTAGGCAATCGCTGAGTTGGGGTTTGTAGTGCGCTGTTCCCAGGTGGGGGACAAAAAGCCGTCAACTCAGGAAGATTCAGGAAGATCCTAGTAATCTATTGGTCCTTGTATAACTAAGAGGAGGCCAGCAATAAGTTATTAAATGTCCACCACGTATTAAGAAGGTTAGGAAGCTTGATCTGGACTGTTTCACAGATTGTAGTGCACTTTCACCACATAGGAATATACACCAGCGTCCGTTCATTGAGTCCTCAGAAAACTACCCAGCTAGTTACCCATTTAAAACACTGATTCAAAGAGTACATGTTTTAGTTATTCCTTTTCCTACTTGTCTCCGGTAAGTGCTAGAATATAAACTCCATGAGGACTAGAATTTTGTCCATTAACTGTTGAGTCTTCAAAACCTAGAACAGTGCCTGGAACTTAGTAGACAATAAATTGAAGGAGAGCTCAAGCAGGTGGGCCTGTGGTTTCTGTTTAAAGCAGAAACTAATACTTGAAGGAGATGAGTTCTGAAGGATGTGGCAAGTTACCAAGGAAATGAGAGAGCATTCAGTCCCTGAACTAATAAGACCACACATAAAGGTAAATTCTACTGGGTACGAAAGGAGGAGAAATGAGGTGTGATCGATAACTAAGAATATACTAAGGGGGACTGATAAGGAAATATTTAAAAACCGTAGAACTGAAAGATGTCAAGGCGAAAGTTACAGGGCTTAAATACAAGACCATTTTGAGGAGGTAGGTGTGGTTATTTGTTTGGCACAGCAAATGCAAAACAATTTTAAATCCTGACACAGTTTAAAAAAACAAAACTGGGCAGTTCTTTATGGACAGTCAGAAAACCTTAAGGCCAACAAAACTGAGTTTCGGAAAAGTCTCTTTGTATTTTTCAAGTTTCTTTTCAGCTGTATAGCAGGGTACCAGGTGCCTAGGACAAGAGATGGAAATCATATAGTGGATATATGACTAATGTGAAATCAAATAAAATAACTACTTACTGAAATGAAATGGCAGCTATAGGTGGGAAGGCCACACTGGGGAGAGAACATGTAATACTTTAAAGTAATTTTGAAAGCCTAAATTCATTTGGTCACTTTTTAATGACAGTTTATTTTTTAAATAGTTTATTTTTATTGTATTTTTTCCATTACCAATTATACCCCTCTTACCATTTTCAACCTCCACCCACCCTCCTCTCCCCAGTGGCTCAGTTTCTTAGGTAGCACTTTGACCCATCCTCTCTTCTCCTTTCTCTTTTTTCCTGGGGTCCTGGGTGTGGAGGGAATGGCAGACACAGAGGGAACAGGAGGAGCTTTATGTTAATTCTTAGAGGCTGGGTGGAGAGGTCTTTTGTTTTTGTCCACTATCCGGTTCAGGTTCTTTTGCCTCCCAACTTCAAATACTGTATTTAAAGTTGAATAATAATTATTTCAGTGTACAGGGAGAGAGACAGGTCAGGAACTGTATTATTGGGTTAAAGAACCCAATAATTGGTAGTTAGAAAAAGTTTACTGCTTTAACAGTTATGCAAAAGGGAAAGACAAAGAATTGCTGGCCTGTTGCAAGGGCTGAGGAGAATACTATACAGATAAAGAGAAAACGTCAAGGAGCAGCAGGCCATCAGGACTGGCAGAGGGTGGGCACCTAGGACAGTTAGTTCCCCCTGGTAGTGGGTAGAGATAGAAAGACCGGCTTCCACTCTGGCTAGAGTTCCAGATCAAGTCTGAGCAGGTGTGCACCTTCTTCACAGAACCTGCTGATTAACCTCACAAAATCCAGGGTGTGTCCTTCTCCCAGGAAGCTACCCTCCTGCCTTCCCCGACACCTCCACCCGCTTTGTGGGGACAACAGTTAATAAGGACATTTACCCAAGAAGCAAAAGAAAGATCCCATGCTGATGTGTCGTCAGCCCTGATGTGTCCATTAAGTCAGACCAAAAAGACCATTGGAAAAAATGAGCACATGCACTTTCTCCCTAAGGGAGGGACTGGGAGCCTTCAGCAGAACCAGGGCTTGCCCCTGCAGCGCCAGGTTGCTCAGGAGAGACAAGCAGCCTGCAGGAAGCCAGGAAGAGGGTTAGTTCTAACGCACAGGCATTTGCAGCCATAAAAAGAGACAGCTAACTATGAAACCCCCACTCGTCCTGGTTATATCTGTTGACCCAGCTTCCTCTGTAGGAAAAGCAGGCACATCCATCTTCCAGTCATCCTGCAAAAATGATACCTGCCAGGAAACCCTCAGAGAAGGGGGTGTGGGAAGATGGACCAGCTGGCTGGGGCTTGGGTTTGTTCTGGAATAGCAGGAATTGCTTTTTTCCCTAAGGGGAAATGCAACCTTTCTGGTATTCTGTTGCCCATTATTTTTTCCTTTCCAACTTCCATCTAGTCCAGAGGAAAGGATTAGCTGCCCGCCTGAGATTTCCTTACACCCTTCTGAGAGATTCTAGGATTACATCCTGTCAAGACTAAATGTTAGCAGGTCTTGCAAGGAACTCAGCTTGCCATTTAATCCAGACAACTGGCACCATTCTTACATGGTAAAACATCATTAGCAAGCTTGTTACCATTACACCGTCAAAATAGGTAAAGCTCCCCAGCAGGCCAGCCTCTCTCTCTCTCTCTGCACCCCTACCACACCGATCTTAGAAGATTGCTTTTCCATCCTGGTTACACATTAGAATTACCTGGTGGGAGGCTTGTAAAAAAACATTAACATCCAGGTCCCACTCCTGCCCAGTTAGTCGGTCTCCCAGAGCAGCCCTGGACATCAGGACTTTGTCCAAGCTCCTCTGGCGATTCTTCTGTACAGCCAGAGCATCTCTACTCAGAGTGAGAACCCAGGTTGCGTAAAAAAGGACAACAGGAGTAATGCATCAGCTCACACTAGAATCATCACCCGAAGAAGAATGTACCATTTTTCAGTCCCAAAACGCTCTCCTCCTAGACCCAGGCAGTGAAAACACCTCGTTGCTCATTCATGTCTTGGCATAAAATTTTACGAAGCTGAGTTCGGCTGCCTTGTGTATCCTCACCTCACTGTCCCAAGCTATTATAGTGAGGGGGTACGAGTGGGTGTTTGGGGCTCAGAGCTGGGTTCAAAAATCTGGCTCTGCCACTTACTAGTTGGGGCCTCCATAGTTAAATGGAAATAAAAATACACGTATTCAAATTTTTAAAAACGGGTCCTGTGTCCTGAGCAGTGTGGCTCAGTTGGTTGGAGTGCCATTCCGTAACCACAAGTTTGTGGGTTTGGTCCCCTGTGAGGGCACATTCAGGAAGCAACCGATCGATGTTTCCCTCACATCAATGTTTCTCTTTTTCATGCTCTCTATCTCCCTTCCTCTCTCTCCGGAATCGATGGATATATCCACAGGTGAGGATTAAAAAATAAACTTAAAAAAATAAAAATCAGATCCTATGTATAAAGCCACTCATGCATACAGCTGAGCATGAGGGCCGATTCTCTCTGCCCACACTGCAGCCTTCTTCTCCCAGAAAAAAGCCAAATTACGTTGAAGATGTCAGAGTCATCGTCAGGGTGGCCACCTGGAAACCCACCCTGCAGAACACAGGAGCTTTCGTTTTCTCTCTGGAGGCTACCACAAGCACACACGCCCGTGCTTCACGCTCCACACACACACCTCCCCCTCTTGACATTATAGCAGGAAGGATAGAGAGAGACTGTTACCCAAGGGAGCTGTTTCTTCTTGTCACACAAGAACAGATGCCGAAATCCTAGGACAGACAGCGCAGAAATGTGGCAGCAGGAGAGTGAGTCAGAGAAAACAGAGTGGTCTCACCTCCCCGATATACCAAGGTCCAGGGGAGAACCTATTTGAATCACTTGCCTCCTGGAGACTCTGCAGGGTAATGTGGGTGTGCGTGTTTTCAGGACCAACTCTGAGCCCACAGACACTGGTTAGAGATGAGTACGCCCCCTCCCAGCGCACACGCCCCACAGGGGGCAGAGAGCAGGGAAACAGGAAGGCTGCGTTCTATTTGAACCCAGCTCTGGCTTCCTCATTTTGGGCAGACTTCAGCTGCTGCCCTTCTGCTGCACTTGAACGCCTCTCAGGTGCTGCCAGGCTTACACTGTGAAGCCCTCGAGGTGATGCTCTGGGGAAGACACTGTTCCAGCACTATGCAGACTGAGCTTATATTTTTACACATAATCTCGCTAAAGGGGCACCCTAGGCTGCGAGTCTTGAGAAAGGAAAGGGGTCCAAGGGTCTCTGTTGAGGGAGTTTAAGGTGGAGCCATCAGTGAGGAGACTCTCTTCCTTGAAAAGCTCAATCTGAGGGCTCTGAATGGGTGTTCGCCACGGCACTTAACATGCAAAGATCCTGGTGATGAAAAGCAGAGCGGCCGAGTGATGGCGGTGGCAGTGACAAGGATTTGTGGTCCTTAAGCTTCCTCCCCTGCCCTTCTCTTCAGGCCAGCCCCTGTGCCCCCTCCAGCCACTCCTCCCGTGGCTGACTCTTCTCCCGCCTGCCTCTCCCCACGGAGCCACACCAGCTCCCTAGGTCCCGTCTTCCTGATCTTCCTCCCGCCCTCCCTCCTTCCGCAAACTGACCCTCCCACTGTGGGCGCCACACACCACACAGAAGCTCGGAAATGCCTCTGGAGGCCTTCCCTTATATGTGAACTAAAAATGGGCTAGCTCCCAGAAGTATTGAGGGACCAGAATAATCAAGGCAGTATTTTTAATAACACACCAAGCCGGCATGACCATTGATACAACTTCTGAGGATCTGGAAGCCAAACAAAACACTGCCTCTCCCCAACCATCGTACCAAATAGTATTGGTTACGTACAGATAGTACAAATAGTACTATTACAACTCCGACAGCCTGCAAGGAAGATTCACGTGTGCCTTCTAAATCATCACAGAAAGGGGTTCAGACGTTTTCATCAGATGTTTGCGTGTACTACTCTTTCACCTCCTTCAGCTCTTTCTTCAAATGCCACCTTCTTGAAGTTTTTCAGCAGCGACACTAAGCAAAGCCAGACTCTGCCCTGCTCCGCCCAACCCCTCACATTGCTGATCGCTGTTCCTGCTCTATTATACTTCATAGCACTTATCAGCAACTTGTATAATATCTACTTTGTTTATCATCTCTCTTGCACACAAATGAGTGCACACACACTAACATTCAAATATAAACTCCATGAAGGCAAAGATTTTGTTTATTTTTCTCTACTCTTGAAGCCCAGTGACTCAAAAAGTGCCTGGTACCTAGGAAGCACTCAGTAAATACTTGTACAGCACATAAAATATGGCTTCATTGATAAGTACATTTCGATTGTTTGTTTAAAATACGTAGTCTGAGTATTTACACATGATCTCCTTCATCCTAAATTCATTTATTCATTCACTTACTCGGTAAACACTTATTAAGTACATGTCATGCATTAGGCCCTTTGTGGGGGGCAGGAATTCCACATTGGGCAAGACAGACACGTTATTTCTGTTCTCAGAGGACTCAAAGTCTGGTGAGGAGAAGGACCTACACACTTGTAAGTAAATTAGTAAAAATAATATTTAGAGATTGAGAAAAGGGTAATGTAAGGGGTAAGTAGGGTAAGTAGGGTGCTGAGTTAGAGAATTCGGTGGATGTCAGAGAGGGCCCTTTGGCGACAACACTGAAGTTGAGACTTGAAGAATGAGAAGACCTGACGCTGTTCCGCAGAGGAAAGCCCCATTTGGCGGTCCTCTGGGGTAAGTGCATTTGGTGCCCCAATAAGAGGCCTTGAAAAGACCAGGGAGATAATGCTGAGTCTGAAACTTGGATTCTATCTCATTCAACTATTCATTAGCTATACCATCTGGAAAAGTCCTGAGTCTCCCTGTCCTTAAAATGGGAGCGATAATACCTATCTCACAGGTGCGAGTTCTATTAGGTAAGGCGTGTGAAAGTGTTTGAGTGTAAAATACATGCGTCACGTTTTTATGGGTAAATGGGTAAGTACCGTTAACTCGGTAGCGTTGGAGTGTGAGTTTCCCACTGGCCTTGAGTGCCCTGAAGTGAAAGTGAAGTGATACTCTTCTGGTATCACTTAGACCCAAGACACCCAGGCATGGCAAAGCCCCGTGCCATTGGTGGAGCATTTGTGCTACTAGGCATCTGTCTTGCTTTCGATTGTGTCCTGTGTCTTGGGAAACTTCAGAGGGTCTCCAGAGGCCAAGGGCTTCCTGGAGGAAGTGGAAGGAGTGGGGGAACCTGCTCTGTCCAGAGGGTCTCTCCAGGGCTGTCCTCATCTGCAACCGCTGCTGTAACCTGCCGCTGAGGCCCGATTATATTTGTCCACATAGTACCTACCAGTAGTTGAGACAAAGCTGGACTTTGCCTGTGTTTTCTGCTGTCCCCGGGATAGCCCGCGGACACCGGTGCAAACCAAACCCACAGGCTAGAAAGGAGGCAGGAGGGGACGGACAGGAGGGCTGGTCCTGGGACTAACTGAGGATGGGCTCTGGAATTTAAGGAAGGGAAAGGGGCACAGGAGGAGAGAAATGGGAGGTGGGGGAAGGAGAACTGGGGTGCGGGGCGCAGGGGGAAGGGCCGGTAAGGGAAAGTGCGGGGGGGGGGTGGCGAGAAGGAGGAAAGGGCCTCAGGGAAAAGGAAAGGCGGGCGCAGAGCCGGCAAAGAGAGGCGGGCGGCGGCCTCCCGGGGGTGGGGGGCGGCCCGGTGGGGCGGGCGGGATCGGGGGCGGGGCGGCGGGAGGCGCTGTCAGCGCAGGGCGGCGAGCGGAATGCAGCGGCCCGAGGCCTGGCCACGTCCGCACCCGGGGGAGGGGGCCGCAGCCGCCCAGGCCGGGGGCCCGGCACCGCCCGCCCGAGCCGGGGAGCCCGCGGAGTCGCGGGTACGGAGCAGGCGGGCGGGCGCCGGGGTCTGGGGCAGCAGGAATCGGGGCCGGAGTGGGGTTGAGCGGGGACAGCCAACTCCTAAACTCGCACGCCTGGCGCCGGGAACTTGGTGCCACCACTGAGCAGCCCTGGGAGTGGCCCGGGCCGGGCCGCGAGAAAAAGTTGCTGCGGGCGTGGACTCCCCAGGAGGCCTGTCCTGAGAGTCCGCGTGGGGCTGAAGTTCTGGATCAGTTTAGAGCAGCGATGGAGACAGCTTGGGGGTGGGGGTGGGGTGGGGATGGCGGGGTGGGGGTGGATTCAGATTCTGCAGGGAGGGGTAAGGCGCTCCGAGGGGCGGTGGGCAGACGTGCGTGCTCTTGAGCCCACCCGCGTCAGAGGGCTGAGGGCGCGCTCAGAGAGTGAGTCCAGCCTCGACCCGAGGTCAGCTGGAAGGAGGAGGCACACCGCTGTCCCCCCCGGCCCAGGTTCTGTGATACACTCCGACTCGGGCTCTGGAGCAGTCAGTGCATGACAGAACTTGGGCCCGGGCGGACCTTCCGCACCCAATGTGCAGCGCGCCCACCAGGGGCCTGCAGTGGAGCATCTGCGGGGCAGTGGGGCAGGACAGGGGTTGGCCCCTGTGGCGCAGGGCTGGGCAAGAACCGGTTATGAACCTTTGGGGCTGGGGTCACTGGAGCCTGAACGCGGGTTCCTGGGGCCAGCGGATCCCATAAAGTCAATGACACGGTGTTTGCCTTGAGTCAGAGGCCAATGGACTCCCCCCGTCCCCCACCCTGTGTCAGTTGCAGGAACCTTCTCTCTACACCATCAAGGCTGTTTTCATCCTAGACAATGACGGACACCGCCTGCTGGCCAAGGTAACCTCCCACCCTCACCAGAGGGCTCCTGAAAACTGTGTTATTGCCCCAAGAACAGAAGCCTCCACCCAGCTGAGGGACCCCGCTGTGCGCTCTGTGCCTCAGAGCAGCTCAGCTCAGACCCTCCAAAGGCCACGGTCAGATCCTCCTGCCTTGTCAGATTGCTGGACCCTGAATGGGCGAGTGTGTCTCCTGTTTCTAATCATGTCCCCTGAAATGTCTTCTCATCATCCTTTCAAGTAGCCGGCCGGACCTCGAGCATGGGAGAGAACTCCCTAGGGGTCAGTGGAGTGTTAGGTTTGGGACTCAGGAATCGTAGTCTCCACATTCTAAACAAGCAACCTCTACTTTTCTTCTAAAGCTTAGTAAAAACTAAGGATTTAGTCTGAGACTCTGAATTTAGAGCCTGTCAGGATTTTATTTTATTAATTTTTATGTATTTATTTTTAGAGAGAGAGGGGAAAGGAGGGAGAAAGAGAGAAACATCAATGTGTGGTTGCTACTCATATGTGCCCAACTGGGTACCTGGCCTGCAACCCAGGCATGTGTCCTGACTGGGAATCGAACCTGCGACCCTTTGGTTCGCAGGCTGGCGCTCAATCCACTGAGCCACACCAGCCATGGCGACCAGGGTTTTAGAGACCACATACATAATTCAACGCTTTCACAAATGAAGAAAATGTGGTCTAGAGAACCTAAACGAGTTGCCCGAGGTTACAAGAGTTAATGTTAGAGCAGAAGTCCGAACTCAGGTGTTAGCCTTGGAGCTCAGGAGGATGGCTTTCACTGCACAAACTCTTCAGTTACCTGGTATCTATCCCCGTGAACATGGCCTGGGGAACTCAAACTAGGGTAATCGAAAAATAAATGTCTACTGTCAATACGATTAACTATAGTAGGGATATGGCATTGAAACTAGCTAGGAAATACATTACAGTTTTTGCTTGTTTGTTTAGGGCTGAAACTTTTTCATGCCTTCATGTGGCATGAAACTTTTTCATGTCTTCACAACTTCCGTGGCCAGAAGGCAGACAATTTGCCTACAGGTGGGGTACCAAGTGGCATAGTCCATATCCAGAAAATTGAAAGCTGAGCCCGCCATACCTTGCCCCAGCAGGTGGTCAGAGGTGGATTAGCAATGCCAAAGGTTTTAGGACCTCGTCCCCGAAGGACACATCCATGTCAGATGCATGGAGATGCATGTCAGAAGCAATGGAGTCCGAGAGAGAGGCTCACCAAACCCAGACAAAACAGCGTTGATTTAATTGTGCAATGGGTGCTGGGAACTTTTCCTTCGTTAGTTAACCTTCACCACCGCTCTGCCTGAAGTTGAACCATCCTTGGTGTTGAATCCCAGTTCTGCCCCTACAGCTGTGAGGTGTCAGGGAACTTTCCCGACTTCTTCACGCCTCAGTTCCCTATCAGTACAATGGGGATAATATAGTAGCTGCTATGATTCTTACTGTTTTATTGAAGGACCCCAGGCTCTGCCCTCTTTCCTGTAGACTCAGGGCGACCTACCACGCCAGTCCTCAGCACACCACATATCTGCTCAACATACAAAAGCCTCCAAGAATCAGGAGAGGACTCCAAAAACAGGCCTCAGAATTTCCCTACTTTTTATTACTTTCTTTGCTTAGAATTTGTGTCTGTGGGGAAACAGTGAGCAGTCAGGCCTAGAGGGCAGCCAAGAGGAGATGGGGCGCTTGGCCAGCAGCCACCGTTCGCCGCCACTGCCCGTGAAGGAGCCAGGCTCTGCGGAGGGGCTCTCACCGCTTCTTCCCTTTCTCATAGTATTATGATGACACGTTTCCCTCCATGAAGGAGCAGACGGCCTTTGAGAAAAATGTCTTCAATAAGACCAGTCGGACTGACAGTAAGTATCCTCCTCTTCCTCACTCAGGACTCACACACGCGCTGCCCTCTTTTCCTCCTGGATGCATCTGTCCCCGTCCCCCCTGGACACCCACGGGCTACTCCCTTTTCTTCAGAGGGTCTTTTTCCTCCTTCCCACCTGTTCATCTCTACTGCTAGGGAAGCTTCACCCCCCTCCCCATTCCTCTCAAACCTCCCACCCTCAGCCACCTAGACCTCTCTCTCTCGGGACAAGGCCAACTGAGTTGTGGGACTGGTCCAAGGTATTGCACAGGGTGGGGGAGGGGGAGGGAGGTCAACCTTGAACTGGGTTTGTTGGCTCCTCAGAATAAAGCAGTTGCTAGAAATAGAGGGTGGAGGGAAGGACAGAGGGTAGCCCTGGGGATGTCCCTAGTGCTAGTCTTTCCAAACATTCCTTGGAAAGGGAAGAAGAAATTAGGGAGAGAGAGGCACAGAGCTGGAGACGGGGAGGAGAGGCCAGGCGGAGGTGGCCAGAGCTGAAAGTTCCCTCCACTTCTAGGTGAAATTGCATTTTACGGGGGCATGACCATCGTCTACAAGAGCAGCATTGACCTCTTCCTGTATGTCGTGGGCTCATCCTACGAGAATGAGGTGAATTCAGGAGGCTGGGGTGGCACAGGGGGCCTGTCCATGGAGGGGAAGGCTTGGAGTCTGGGGCAGAAGCTGGGTTCTGAAGGCTTACCGTTAGCGCCCCTCCTTCTGGACGCTGGGGGCCGGTCAGCAGCCACAGTGGTTCTTCCTGGGACAAGGCGTACCCATCATGACCCTTAGGTCCAAGCAATGACATTCTCTGCAGGAGCCTTTCTTTCTTTTGAAATCATTGCTAGAGAAGGACACTCTCAGTGTCCCACAGTGGGGCACTCTAGTGCCTCCCAGCCCATACACGGAGGTATCCTCCAAGGTCGAGCTGCAGTCAGTCTCCAGCCATGTCGTCTCCGGAAAGAGACGCTTTCCCACGCAGGAGACTCTGAGGCCTCCTTCGGCCTTCCCAGCCTCAAGCTCTCTCATTTTTCTCCCATGTCTGCCCACCTCCAGCTGATGCTCATGTCTGTTCTCACCTGCCTATTTGAGTCCCTGAATCACGTGTTAAGGTGAGTGACGTTCTCTGCCCTTCAAGGCCCCCCCCGCCCCCGCCATGCCTTGATAGGTCACAGAGGCAGGGCCCTTCCTCCCTGCTCTTGTCCCGAAGTCCCTATAAGACTAGGACTGGGGCCGGAGCATCGCCCTCCAAGGCCCCTGCCCTGTACCTAACCACCATGGCATCACCCAGGATAGAGCCATGTGAGGGGAGGGGAGGGCCAGAAAACAAGGCCCCAAGAAACCAAATGTCTTGCCTGAGGTTACAACTGTTTATATCAGAACAGAGATTCAAACTCAGGTTTTCTGATTTGAAGCTCAGGGTGGTTTTCACTGGCCCATCCATTCAGTTATCTGGTGTCTATTCCACTGAACATGGCCTGGGGAAACCAAACTAGGATAATACAAAAATAAATAAATTCCCTAGTCCGCACAATTAACTGTATTAGAGCTAAGACATCTCAGTCAGCTATGAAATGCATCCAGGGTGCCGTGGTGGGCACAGTGTCAGCGCCCCAAGGGAGGGGGTCGTGCAAGGGGGGCTAAGGAAGCAGGCCTGCCCTCTGCTCAGGAACCCCTTGCCCAGGCACTGCCCTCACTGCCCTTGACATTGTCCTTCCCGATGCTTGTTGAGGCTGTGGTGGCTATGGGTGGAGAGGGGGCCTGCCTCCCCTAGGCAGGGACCTGGCTCCGCCTGGCCACGGGGAGGCCCAGGAGCTGTGTCTCCTTCAGGAAGAACATGGAGAAGCGCTGGCTGCTGGAGAACATGGATGGAGCCTTCCTGGTGCTGGACGAGATTGTGGATGGCGGGTGAGGAGCAGGTGGTCAAGGAGACTCACAGGAGGAGGTGCCTTTGAAGGCCATTAGTTCTAGTTCGCAGCCAGCACACTATTGGCTCTCTCTGGCCGACTTCTCCCTGCCTTCCCCCAGCATGTTCCCGGTGATCTCACCGACCACCCGACTCATGGGGATGGAGGTTGATGTCTGTGTTCGCCAAAGTCAAGTGAACAAGAAATGAGTCTGATGTCCAGCTGTGGCTGACTGTTGAATAGGCTTGCCCTCCAGGGCCCAGGGGAAGCAGGCAGCAGACACTCCCCCTCCCCCGCCTCTTCTGAGAAGGACTTCATTCTGGCAGAGCCCCGCTGCCTGCACACCTCCCACTCTTAGAGCCCCATCCCCACCTCGGCCAGATGCATGACCTGGGCCGGGTACTCATGCTCCCTAAGCCCCACTTTTCCCGTCTTTCAAACAGGGATGATAAAGGAACTACTTCGTAGGGTGTGGGAATTAAACAAGGTGATGCTAGTGAAGCTTGTGGTTCTCCTTCAGTAAGTGGCACCTGCTGGAAGCTGGGTGCCCTTATCACAAGGGTTGGTTAGGGAGTTTCCAGGGGGTGGGGCAATAATCAGGGAGAAAAAGAAGTTCTGACTCTGGGGCAAAGAATAATAGAAACTGATCATCTTAAAAACATCCACATACCTCTATCATTACATCTGTTTTAGAGATGAGAGAAGAGATTCAAAGGTCAAGTGACTTGCCCAAGGTCACACGGCAGGGCCAAGATCGAAAACCACAGGCATCGTTCCATGGCATTAAACCACGCGCCCCAGGGGCAGGGTGCTCTGGGACAGGGGGTGGTGGAATTCCCCGTTCCCGCTCCCCGTTCCCATTGACTACCTGCTACTGCAAGGCCTGGTGCTAACTCCCTGGACACAAAGGGCAGTGGAATAAGACCAGGGTTTGTGGAAACAGAAGTATATCTATTCGGTGGAACCTCTTTAAGGAAAGCATGCACACCCCGTTACGAAGTGAGGGGCACGGCCTAGAAGGCCCCGTGCAAGGGAGGACATAAGCTTTATGATGTTCTGGGCCTGTGTCCCCAGCAGGCCCAGTTTCTGCCCCTTGAGTAGCTCACAGTTTCCCTCCAAGGAATTGTCAGTCGAGTCAATGCCTAAACCAGAGCATTGGTCTGGGAGGATTCGGCCTTTGTGGAGGAAAAGACCGCTGGTGAGGGAGCCGGGGGCTGGGGACGCCCCAGTGATGGGGCCTGGAAAAGGCTCTCAGGAGAGGTTTCTTCACGTCCTGGGACTAGTACAGAAATAGAGCCAGGCTCCTGCCCTGGAGGTGCCTCACCGGCTGCAGAGGAGCGCTCACTCAGGCCCTGTGGCCTCTATGCCACCCACAGCGAGGCCCTCCCTCCCGCGCACCTGCACACACCCACACGTGGCTGCAGGGCTCCCCAAGACGTCGTGAAAGAGTATGTTCTAGCTGAGGAAAGTCTTCATATTTGGGTCCATCAAAAGGGAAGATAGACTGATTTTTAGAGTCCCATTTGTTTTGTTTATGGCATAGAACAATAGTGAAACCAGACAGAGACCCCAGGGCACCTCCCTTCCCTCACTGCGCCTGAATCCGCCCCTGACCCAGAAGGGCACATGAACTTGCAAGAGCTCCGAGTTTTTGCCCCCCTAGTCATCCTGGACTGGACTCACTCGATTTCGCAGCTTTTGCCCAAAGACCACCATGTGTGTGACCACCAGGTTTGAAGCGCAGAAAGATCAGAGCTGAGGGAGCGTAGAGAGAGTTCTGACTTTAGGAGGAGCAGTGGGAAGGTGCCCTGGGGGAGGAAATGTGGCAGTGTGTGGGGACTGAGGGAGGAGGCATTAGCATGGAGAGGCGGCAGAGGGGACAATCAGGTCACCGACTTTCCTCCTGGTTCTTCTCTCTTCTTGTAGTGTGATTCTGGAGAGCGACCCCCAGCAGGTGATCCAGAAAGTGAATTTCAGGGTAAGACTCCGCCCAGATCCCCTCATCTCCTCTGGGCTGCCCTCACCGTCCTCCCCACCCTCTGCGCTTCCCGCCCTCGGGGCTGCCAGGGCCCAGGTGGTGGGAACCCAAGCTCCTCTAGCAGAAGCAACTGCTGGGACGGTGCACTTGAGGGGGAGTGGCAGCTTGGGAGTGTCAGTGAGTAAAAGGTATCTCCTGTCCTCTCCCCCTGTAGAATCACCAAGCACCTCACCACCCTCTCTCATGGGAAGTACAGACTGGGAAATAAACTCTCAGAGACACCAGGCGGCTGCCTCAGGCCTGAGTTGGGGGGTGGGGCTCTAGAAAGAACCGCCCTGCCTCATTTGGCTTTCCAGCCAGAATTAAACCTTTCCACCAACTGTATTCCCTTCATTCCCTCACTCCCCAAGCATCACAGGCAGGGCCCAGGCCAGCTTCCAACTCAGGGTCCAGGGCCTCCACTAGCTGGCGGTCCAGGTGTGGTCCTGGGTCCTCCCAGCCACTGGGTCACTCACTGCCGCCCCCAGCCCCTTTGTCTCCCTTTCTGAACCCAGTCCTCTCACCGCGGCCTGACCACCCTGTGACACTGCTTCCCCACAGGCAGATGACAGCGGCTTGACTGAACAGAGTGTGGCCCAGGTAGGTCCCCAACATCTGCCTTGAACTCGAGGGAGGGGAGCAGAACCTCCCGGGGGACGCAGTGCGAGCTCTTGAGGCTGAGAAGTCAGGATGTGGGAGGGGCGAGGCAGGGACAGGCCGTCTGCTGGAGAGAGTCACGGGAGGCTCCTAGAGTCTCTGAGGCGGAGCAGACCTGGGCATCAATAACTGACGCGCTCCTTCCTGGTAACCCACCCCTCTCCTGGCTTGGTGTCCCCGGGATACGCTGCCGACCCTGGAGATGGCTGAGTCACTTGTCCCCCAAAGCCACCTGGGCACGCGGCCCCTGGTGCTCCCCCAGCCCCGAAAGGACAACAAATAAGAGTTTTCCTCCAAACCCTCACCCCTCGATGTTAAAGTCCAAGCTGGAATTGTTACGGGACCCTTACTTAAGCTGTGATAGGATCTAACTTTCTCCATGCCTCGCTTGCCACCCAGCGCCTGAGTGACCTGGCTGTGGAAAACTCCCCTGCATGGTCCTCACTGGTGCACATGGGGCAAGAGGGAGGTCCCTGCACCTGTGGCTGGACTGGTTTCCCAGCTGTGCACACTTCCTGCTTATCAGACTGCCTGCCTGACCTCTGTTCTGTCTGCCCCCAGGTCTCTCTGCACAGACTAATCTTGATTTTATGGAGCTTCCTGCCCTGGCACTAACCACCTACTCATGCTGTGGCGGTCCAGGCTGAAATGGGTATAGAACGGCCCATGTGGAGCCCCAGGTGTGGCGCCCACTTTCCTGTCGCTGCCCTCGATGCTCACCCTGTTCTCCCTCCTCCTGGGTCCCCAGGCCTCCTCCCACCCTGTGGGGAGCAAGGCAGTTTTCTGGTCCGAAGAGGTTAGGGAGCATGTGCAGGGCGGATAAGAACACAGGTGCCGGTGTCACCCCAGCATGTATATCCCACTGTATGTTTGTGAGTGACCTAGACAAGTTACTCAACCTCTCTGGGCCGCAACATAATCACAGGACATTCCTCGTGGAGTTATGATGAGAATTAGATGAGCTAATGCATGGAAAATTCTTTGCACAGCCCCTATTTTTCCAAAGGGGGGAAAGAATGAAGACACAGTACTTTTAATGGAATTACTGAGTAAAAACCAAGGAAGCTGCAGGCAGTGAGGGGGAGATGGAATGAGGAGAAAGTTAGAAACTGACTAGAAGCAGAACCCCCCAGGGCCAGGCTGTCCCTGAGAGAGGAAGGGAGACAGTGCCGAAAGAAGGGACAAACTGTTTGGGATAAACCTTCAGAAGGGAATGAGGCTTGGTGGCTGGAGGGACGACCTGAGAGACGTATGTGGAGTTGCCACCACGTTGGCATCGTGTGTGCACATCTGTATGGATTTGCATAAGCACCAGACTGAGGTTGTTTGCTCAGCTGCATGTGACGGTGAACATCAGCTGAGTGCAGGTGTCCCATGGCAGTGTCTGGCCAGCCACCATTTGCCAGCTGTGCCACATCAGCGGTGGGGTGGGGTGGGGTAGGGTGGGGTGTGGAGGACAGACACACTGCCAGCCAAGGCCCGTCCTAGAGTTTTGCTGAGGTGTCTGGGCTCAGGAAGTGTCAGGCCTGGGCCCAGTTTTGCCTGGACGTGGCACTGTGGGCGGCACCTAGCAAGACCTGGTATGGGAAAGGCGCGGCTGCTGCCGCACCCATCATTGCAGATGCAGAAAGCAGCAGAGGGCTGGGCAGCTTTGGGCTCCAGCTGGGAGCAGGCTCTCTCTCTGGATGGCCTGGCCCAGCTTAAGTCAAGCAGAGATGAGCTGCTGCCACCTAGTGACCCGGAGTTGCAGGGACCCTTAAGGAAGGTGGGCTGTAGACCTTCCCTCACTGCATCATCAAGGCTCTTGACATTCCCACGAATTCTCTCAACCTTCTTCCCCACCTCCAGGTTCTTCAGTCTGCCAAGGAACAAATTAAATGGTCATTACTGAAATGAAGGCTGTGCATTCAAAGCTCCCTGCCCCAGATAATTTCCCCAATCCTGGCAAAAGCTCAAAGACCCCAGGGGACAGGAGAGACCCCTCTGCATCCCTAGGCCCTCCCAGGACCGACTCCTGAAGCCTCTGGCCAGGGACTCTGAAATGAAAAGATTTGGCTTTAGCACTGAGTCACCCCTTCTCATTGCCCAGGCCTGCCCCTTGGGCAGTGAGAACCAGCTGAGCTGCCTTAACTCAGACCTTAGGCATCCCTCACCCCAGAGCCCAAATAAACCTGCTTGTCTCCTGCCAATGGCCTCCTTTTCTCTTGGCCTGGGGAGTGGGTGTGTGTGTGTGTGTGTGTGTGTGTGTGTGTGTGTGTGTTCTGTTAGGGGTCCCTGCACTTTCTGTGCCTCGCCTTTAGCATGCCCACTACCAGGGCCCATCCCAGTGGTTGTGTGATTGGAGGGGGTGGGGAGGGTCAAGGGAGAGGGGACAATTTAACATAGTGAGGGGGTGTGACACAAATACCACGAGGCCCCATATGTAATAGTATAATTGTGTCACATGGTAAAGAAGTAATAATAGGAGGAATGGCGCACATTCGGGAGAAAAAGAAAGAGGGTACACACATGGTGGACTTGCTGGGGATTTTTGAGTCATTTTCCTATTACCAGCCTCCAGAGGGGAAGGGCGTAAGGCTTCCTCTGGACAAACTGAGGAACAGCACGCCTATTTTTCTTGGCATGGCAGGGACTGCGGAATTCCTATACTGGCACATACCCTGGGCACTAGAGCCCTGCAAGCTTGCCAAGGCTGGGACCGGATGCAGGGGGCGTGGAAGCATCAGCCAGCACCATCCCCAGGCCCCGTGCATATGTGTCCAGAGCACCCAGTAGAATCCAGAGGATGTGAAGAATTGCAGGTCCGGTGGGAGAGAAGGGAGGGGAGAAACCCCAGGGGCAAACGGGAAGGATGGAGCGACTTTCTGGGGAACGCGACTCCCCTTTTCTCTCTCCGTCCCAGAACCCCCCCGTTTCTCCCTTTCTTACTCTGACGCATACACTTTTTGCGTCTTTGTACCGAAGTCCCCGGGAGTGTTTAACATTCATTTCCCGGCGATCTTGTTTCCCTTGGATACCTTGCTAACAGAAGCCGCTAGTCCACGCCCCGCCCCGACACCGCCCCTCACTGGCGCCCGGGCCGGGAGCTCCGCCCTGGGAGCGCATCCGCGATCCTATAGCGCCACCTGGAGGGAAAGGAGGGAAACGCGATCGCTCTGCGTCCTGCATTCCTGACTAACTCCGCCCCGCAGGGCGGTACCGACCCGGTGTCCTGCTAGACCGTGGTGGGCTCCGACGCTGGCAACCGAGTGTTGCACTAACAAGCAACCCACTTGACCCGTCTTGCGAGTTCCGCGCCAGTGCGGGCATAGGCGTTTCCGCCAGCCGCTACAGTAAGAAAGCGGCGAGCTCTAGGTGTTAATTGAAGCTGTCCCTGCGGGTTTCACGTCCTCCATTATAAAACACTCTTAAGATTGGATATTTATAATGGGCATGAGTACTTCTGTAATTAGAGAAAACGATGAAGATATAGTTATGCAAACATACACATTTTCAACACCGTGTACAGAACCCATTCCAGTAAATAACGCAGAAAGACAACTCTAAAAAGGAACAAAGAGTATGCAATTAAATGCTGTAGAGTTCAGGAGCCAGTATGGCGACGGGAAATGAGACATTCTCCAGAAATACTTTGGCAAATATGCGGCCTCATCCGGTGCCCAGTTCCATCCGCAGCCTCTAAAAGACCGCAAAGACGGGAGGGGCAAATTCGCTTCTTAGCAACCTAGTCGCGCCCTACCCGGCCCTGCAATTCCAATTGTGCAGGAACAGGAATTTGAAGGCCCGAGCTTTCCACAAACTGGCTCTTTGAATCCCGTGGACCTTGTGCTGCTGTCCCCATTTCACGGAGGGGCACGCCGAGGCTCTGAAAGGTTAAAGTGTTTGCAACAGTTTCTGCGGAGGGGAGCTGCTGGAGGGAGGTGGCTTTCTCGCACCCCCTGCTCTAGGGCCGTCCGAACCTCTCGCCCACACAGGGACTGTTGTGGGTTAAGAGGAATGAGCCCAGAGAGCATGGCAATGCAGAGAGGTGACCAGAAAATTGTCCTCGCTCGCCGCAGCTAAAGAACTATGGGGAGGAGGTTGCAGCAAAGCAGCGGGAAAGAGGACGGCGCAAAAAGGGCTAAGCAGAATTGCGGGAGAAACCGGGAGGGCCGGCAGGGAGGGACGCTGCTCCTTCCTGGAGAGCCCCCAGTTTGCAAGAGCGGCCCTCTGGGGGCAGAGGGAGAGACCCCGCTGTGTCCCCGCCCCCCTCTCGGCGCCTGTAGCCCCGCGAAGACACCAGGAGAGAGGGCCTGGCCGCCTGCCTAGGGCTCTGACCGCTGGCACCGGCTCTCCTCAGACGGCCTCATTAACGCTGCCACAGGCGCGGGCCGGCGGGGAGCGCAGAGCACCCAGTGGGCGCGGCGCCATCTGCCCAGGACCGGGTTTCGGGAAGGGCAACCGGCGGTTCCCGGAGCGAGTGGCCATCGGGGCCGCCCTTCCCGGCTGTTCTCACCCCCAAGGCCCCTCTCTTTCTGCATCCCTCTTCCCCTTGCCCTCGTGGGCGATCCATAGGGTCTAGAGCATAAGTAGGAAAAAGAGCTTTCGGGAACTCCCTTTCCTCCTCCTGACTTGCACCCAGCGTACATCAGAAACAGAGACCTCGTGGGCCCGGGTCCAAGCAGAGGGCTCACAGGGAAGCACTGGCACCAGGGCTCTGGTAAAAGGGGGGACACTACCGACACCTACACCGGGCAAGGGACACAAAACTAGTACCGCCAGGCTCCCCAACCCGCTTTATACCACCGTGAGCCGGCCACCCACCCCCCTTCTCCGACACCGCGCGCCCCCTGCTTTCCGGCCATTGGCTGGCAGGAAGGCAGAGCTGGTCCCATTGGCCTGCACCCAGACAGTGATAGATGGCCCCCGCGGACTGAGCCGCGGCGGAGACCGGGTCTCTACACGGTGGCACAGTTTGGCGAAGTTGAAGGCGGAACCAGGCCGGCTTGGGAGTGGGGTCGCGGGGTCAGCCGGGGACACGCCTGCGGCTCAAACGTCTCGATTTGAAACTTTACGGGGCGGGGGGGGGGGGGAGTCTTACCTTTGAATTTCCAGTAGGTACCCTTTGACACTGGAACCTGAACTGATGTAGGCAATGTAGAATAATTTACTCAAAGCGTTTGCGCACAACCCTACAGACCTCCCTTTCCCTCCAAACTGGATCTCCTTCATTTAACAATATTCGTAGGTTCCGTTTGTCCGTCGGTGCGTTCGTTCACTCACTCACTCACACACTCATTCATTCATTTATTAACTATTTGAGTGTTTGCCACGAGCCAGGAACTGGGCGGGGGTGGGGGGGGTGGGGGGGGGTGGGAGATGGAGGAAGACTGATTAGCAAATGATTGGGCCCAGGCATGGCACCGGGTGGGAGCTGGAAGGAGAGAAGGGATTATAGGGATATTTCAAGATAGAAACCCCTTTTAAAATCAAGCGGTGTTCTATATCTTGGTCTGAGTGATGGTAAAAATTCACGGAGCTTCCATCTAAGATGTGTGTTCCTTCTTGTAGGAAAGCCATACTTCATTTAAAACAATAATCGAATGGCTGCCAATTTTTTCTCTGTCATCAGCCTTTGTATGGTTCTCATCTGTTTCCTACTCTCTTCCTCATCTCTACCAACTAAAACTTGAAACTATCTTAGATGAAGATCCAAAGACATGAGAGTGATTGTGGAACACATGTGGACTTTATACACTGTACATGTAGATAAGTGCGACCCCTCAGAGTGGACCCTCTAGTAAGAAGCAGTATTGATTAAAAAAAAAAAAAAAAAAAGTAGTACTAGTAAAACTAAGTTTCTCTTGGAATGAATTCTTTTAATAGACATTTACTAACTGGTTGCTCTGAACCAGGCACCTTGCTGGGGCTTAGTCGGAACTTCTAAACTGAATTGGAAGACAGTTCCTGACCCAAGAAACTTACGATGTGACTACAACAAAGTCCTGTATGCAGAAATTATAAACATTGATCAAGGCGATGGTGTATTACACAGCATTTGACAGACAGAAATCAGGGGGAAAGACACTAAAAAGGGAGCAATAATATAAGCAAAGCAAAGGAGCAGAGACTCCAAGGAATTGCAGGTAAGCAAATATAGCTGGATGGAGGCTATGCGTTTCTGTGGGGAAGCTGGGGTGTGTTGAGACATGAAGCTTCTCCCTAGACAGGTTGGGAATGGATCAAAGCAAGTGCTGAATGACGTGAGGAAGAATAACTGCCATTCACTGAGTTTACTATTTGTGCACCTTAGAAATTCTATTGTCCCCAAAATAACCTAACAAAGTAGGTGTTGTTAGCCCTGTTTTTACAACTGGGGGCAAGATAATTTGGATAATTTGCCTGAGGACACAGAGGTGAGATTTAAACCCATGCTGGTCTGACTCCATTGCCCATACCACCAAACAAAGGAGCTTGGCTTGTATTTTGAAGGGAATGAGAAGCCACTGAAGATTTGCAAGCAGTTAAGTGACATCAGCTCTGTGTTTTGAGCAAGGAACTCTGCCAACGACGTGGAAGGTAGACTGAAGAAGGGAAATAAGAATTTAGGGTCAGTGTATGAGCTGTATGACCCACAGAAGGCAATTGTTTTCATGGCAGTCACTTCTCATTCTTTATATAAAGCAGTGCCATGCAAATAGATTGCTGATCTTGTCGCCAAACCACTTGCAAAAATCATGTCCATTCAGAGTTTGAATTAATTTAGATAATTGCAAGCAATAGTTCCAAAAGAGGGCTCGCAAAGGGACCACTTTGTTAGGGATGATAATTTGGACATTTAGCTCATGAAAAGTATGGTAAAAAGTAATAAATCCATTTCATAGCTTTCATATTTGGTGCCCTCTTGTCACTCTGACCTACCCTTACTCTGAAAATTCACACACACACACACACACACACCCATGACCAGAACCACAATTTCTCTTTATCCAGACACTTGATTTTTAAGACATTGAGCAGATGTACCTTATTCTCATGGTTGTCAATGGGTCTTCATCCAGAAAAATTTAAGGATAAAAGAAAACTCTAAAAAGTCATGAGATGTGGCCCTGCCTCCAGGCAACAGCTTCTTAGTGACTGACAGGGATGCCTGGGATGCGTATGCTAGGGACATATTGGGCACATATGTGGAGATGAGGTTCA